AATTGGCAGACTGAGGGCTACGAATTGCCTAACCACCCACTGTGAAATGCCTCTTACCTCAAGCAAAAGGGAACATAGTGATGTTTCTCATCACTATGTACTTAATGATCAATGAGCTAATCATAAATGAACTATAAAAATCAGTCAAAATTCTAACTCAGTTGCACAGCTTTGCAAATTCCATCTGCACTGTGTCGCGGGGCTAGCTAAAATAAAAGCTCTTCTTTTAAAAAAGACGTCTTGCCCCATTTGTCATCCTGGGGGTCTTGCCCTGTTTTTCATCATGGGGCCTTGTGTTTTGAGTGGAGTACAACAGTCTCACTGTGAAATACAAAGGAGGGCTTGCAGGTGGCACCTCAGTGCAGAGGCCCCAGGTCCCATCCCAGCACCATTCTGAGAAACTGGCTACCACACTGAGAAGAAACCATGAGTGTTACAACTGAAACAAGCAGATGTCTCTAACATAGCCAGGGGCATGTGTCACATATCCACAGACGAAGTGTGCCCAAATCCCACGGTGGGTATTCCACCTGTTTAATCTGCTAAGTGTTGTCTGCATGTACAAATGGCCTCCATACCCACGGGACCAAGAGCAGTATCCAGCCCCGTGTCCATTCTGTCTCTCAGGGGCACTGACTTCACAGGGGCCACCAAACACGGTGAAGACCAGCGTGGGGGGACAGAGGTGCTGCATGAGGTGCTTCGTCACTGAGACCAAGGCCCAAGTGGAGCAGCTCGGGGAGGGAAGCTGGGCTCCGGCTCCTGGCTCTAGAGTCTCGGACAATAGCCGTCTGGACCTGTGACCTCCTAGGAGCTGGGGTCGAGGGTGAGGACCATGGACAGGACTTGGTGACCCGGGGAGGCGGGTCCTGCTCTTAGATGTCATCTAAGTGAACCCCCAACTGGACTCCCCACCCCCACTACAACGGTTCCCCTCCAAACACAGGCCCTGAGCTAGAAGGAGCCCAGACACAGCCAGCGAGCCGGGAAGGGGCCACCAAGATCCACGCTGGTCACCAAGCCTGCACTGTAGCATCATGGGACACCATTGCCCTGCCCCAAAATCAGGCCCAGCACAAGACAGAGTCAGCCCCCTGGAGCATGCCTCCCGCCCTGACCCATGGCACTGGCTCCTCCTTAGGCCGGAGGCACGAGTGCAGGCAGTGCTGGCACCAGGACCTTAATAAAGAATACACACAGCAGCCCCTCTCTCAGGAGGCTGACGCAGGAGGATGGCCACAACTTCAGGGCCAGTCTGGGCTACACAGAGAGCTCAAGGCCAGCCGGCCAGAGGTGCATAGTGAGATCCTGGCTAAAAAAAAGCCCCCAAAACAAAATCAGCTGCTTCAGGCACAGTAGCTCCTATAATGCTCCTTTTCCTCCATAAAACAAGCAGCTTCATAAGAGTTTTCTAAGCATTTCACAGCTGTTCAACTTTGCATGATTTAATTTTTTATGCTCCATTAAAAATCTACAGGCAGCAACTTCCAATTTTTAGCAGGGGTTCAGCTGACGGCTTCCCTGGTGCCCTGAAGGCTTCTGGTCTACTTCTACGATCACACTTGTGCCCCACTCAGGTGAAATTCAAACCAGCAGTCTCCCACAGTGCATCTGGCTCATGCAGTTTCTCTGTTGCGTTTCCTACTTGACCCCTGAGCTCCAGCCTGATCCCCTCGGATGTGAAGGTCAGACCTGGACCACATGGGCAGGCGCAGGGCATGGGTCAACACCTGAGAAATTAATAAATCAGTGGGCTTCAGGGACGGGTGTTTCCTACTGCGGTAACACGGCCTTCTGGGAATGGGTGTGATAAAATAACTTTGCTACCAGAGAATAGAGACTACCGTGACCCTTAGAGAGGCACCACATGCGGACCAAGAAGGGAACTGTGATGGAACCCCTCTGCCAGGATCTTGATCTTAGCCTCTGGGACTGTGATGCAGGCCAGCTGCCCTGGCCATGGCATTGTCATGCCCACTGCAGGGACTGGGACACTGCCCTGGGAAACAGGCCAGAGAGCATCACCTCCTGGACACCACCCCCCTCCGGCACTGCAACAGTGTCTACTGTCTGCTCTGAGGGATGTGAGAGCTGCCCCCCGCCAACAGGGATGCCTGTGCCCTGTGAGGCAGTACAAGAGAAGCCAGGGCTCACATGCCAGCTGACACAGGGGCCACCAGGTGACAGAGGGGCCACCAACAGGCAGTTTCATCTGTCTTTGGTGGCAGACTGAGATGCCCTTTGGGGTATTTATCGGAAACTCCTTCGAGGTGCCTGATATTTCTTCCAAGTCCTTTCCGAGTAACAGCAGCTTCGCAGATGGCTTTCAAGATGTTCATTCCTTTAGATTTTACTTTTGAGACAGGGTCTCACTACGGAGTCCAGGCTGGCCTTCAGCTTGTGCTGCTGCTCCTGCCTCAGTCACCAGCACTAGAATTACAGCTGTGCACCCCAGCTCCTGTCCCCCTGCTTTACAAAACAATGTGTCTCCAGAATGGGGGACCTGGACTGGCCTAGTTTTGACTCAGGGCCTCCAGAGATCATGGGGCAGGCAGGCTGCAGATTTGGGGTCACATCCCACTCTCACCTTTGAGGACAGGCTTCTTCCCGATGCTCCGCACCATGTGGACGGCGCTGGACATGCAAGTCGGGAATGAGCTCTGTCACCAGGTACCCGAAGTACCAGGCACAGAGGGAAGCAAGGACCAAGAGCGAGGCCTTCAGGGTGTCTGGAGACAGAGCACAGAGGCACCAGACAGACATCAGTAGAGACCATTAGTGCATGCACTACAGGTAAGGAGGGGAGGGTTTTACACAGTGGGGGAGAGGTAGGAGGCGGCTCCTATGCATCCAGCCAAGCCTCCTGGAGTGTGAGTGACCCAGGCCTAGGCAAAAAATCACTGCTCTGTGTTAGTGCAGGACAGAGCCTGGTGCCAAAGTCCTGGGGCTGCATCAGGCATGGCAATCCCAGCACAAATGACATGTGTGACCAAGGCAGGCACCAGGTGACTCCCACACAGGGGACAGGAAAGGATAAGGCAGGCTCTGTGCATGGGTGGGGGCGGGCCCTCAGGCTTTCCTCTGCTCCTTGCTGCCTCTGAACCCTTGGAAAGACAGGCAAGGGAAGGTCAGCAGAGAAACAGATGGTCAGGACCTTCCTGACTGCTCTGACCACTGTCCCCAGCTACCTTCCAAACTCCCCATCCCTGAAAAAGCATGAGGCACTGTCTTCTTCATTTGTCCCAGGTTCCCGGACAAGCCCCACCTGGAGCAGCCCTGTCTGGCAGAGGCCCAGGACATCTGCCGGGAAAGGGGCTTGCTGGAGGCCCCTGGCCCGGCCTAACCCAACCCTGTGCTCCAAGCCAGCTATCACACCCACTCCCCCAAGTACCCAGAAGGAGCAGGGGGCAAACAGGAAGAACCACCCAGCCCCCTTCTGGCCTGAACCCCCATTTTCAGGCCCAGTCTAACAGGAGGTGGCCCTGCTGAACTTCCCTATCTGAATTGCCTGGCAGGTTCTGGCCAGACCCCTCCCCCACCACTGGGGGGTGGGGGGACCCACTCACCTGCAGCCCTGAGGCGAGTCTTCCAGGCACTGCTCCCCACCACCCCGCAGGCACCTGAAGGAACCTCAGCCTAGCTGAGGCATATGGAGGAGACAAGGGAGGGAACCTGCCCTCACTCTCCCCCAGTCAGTCTGCAGGCAAAGGGCGGGCCACTTACAGGGAACTGCCAGGTGGGGACCAGCCAGACTGCAGGGCAAGCAGCCAGGCAGGTTTGGGCAGGGCCACCGGGCTTGTCCTGTAGCTCAGGTCATGCACCAAGCAGGCCCTTTTCCCTCAGGCTGACCTACCTGTTCCAGGGCTGAAGATGCCCTGAGAAGACCAGCTGAGAAAAAGACTGCCAGGTGCCTTGACGCCAGGAGCACCTGCGTTGCCAACCAATGTCTCCCACCAGGGAACAGCTGGGAAAGGAAGCTTGGCAGAGTCTTTGGACCTCCTTCCCCACCTCAGAGTCCTGTCCCTGGGCCAACCCTCCAAGGCACTTTGATCCGTCTAGGGCAGCTCGGAGTCCACCTGCTGTGGACACAGCCAGCCACACGGGGCTCCCTGTTCCTCCTTTGCTGAGGGGAAGCTGGACGCTTCTGTCTGAGGGCAGGGTCCTGGGGAAGGTCCCAGACCCAGAGATCATCCGACATCAGGACCCCAGCAGGACAGCCAGCGCTGGCCATCTGGGAGCACGGTTTCGGTACAAACATGCCTAGGGTTTTATTGCGCTCTAAGCTGCTGTAGTCAGGGCGACTTCAAGCCACAAGAGGAAGTCCGGGCTCCAGGGGAAGCTGTCCTGCTGCCTAGTGAGGTCCCCGCTGCCAAGTGAGGTCCCCACTGTCTAGCAAGATCCCGCCAGCAGGCTCTCTCTGTACAGGCTCTGCCAGGTCCTCTCTCTCCAGGAGCCCAAGGATTGCCCATGACGCCCTGCACCCTGGGCTTGCTGGGGACAGATTTTATGGTGGCTGTGACCCTCCCTCCACAGCCCTGTCCTTGCTGAGATGTCCTGTGGGGAGTCCTGTTTCCTGTGGCCAATGCAGCTGCTGTCCTCTGGTTCACAAGGCTCATGTCCTCCAAAACTCCAGAGGCCAGAAGGCAGGATAGTCAGGTAGGGACTCAGAACTATACCATACCAGGCCTGGGCCTGGCCTCTCTCTGTGTCCCTACAGCTGAGCCGCCCTCTCTGTGAACCCTTCTCCAGCCCTGCCTCCCTGTGGCTAAAATTGGGAAACTGAGTCCTGATTTTCTACACCAAGAATTTTACCTGTGTCATTAGCTCATCTAGTATCAGAAGAGGGTTTCTGCCTCTGGGTTTGTTTGTATCTTTAAACAGTTTTGGTATTAAAACGCACAGTACACAGCGAACCTGATCCCTGAATTCCCTTTATTGACCTCCAGGTGGTGTCCTCTTGTAAGAGAGCCTAGCACCTGTTACACATTAACTCGCTGTCCGCCCTTCGGCCCCTGCCTGGCAGCTACCCCAGGCCTCCTGCCTTTGGAAACCGGGTTCTCAGCCCGCCTGACACATTACGACTCCTAGGGTCTCTGCCTCATGGCGCTGCTTTGTTCCCACAGCTAAGCGCCCTCACGGTAAGAACAAGCCCTGCTGAATGCTCACACCACTTCCATCCGTCTGTCCATCTGTCCATCCATGGCCATACGGGCAGCTTCTACTTACTGGATGCGGCAGATAACGCTGCCACAGAGAAAGCTGGGGAACCATCTCTGGGACATCTTGCTTCAATCTTGTGGGACACACACTGGCAAATGGGGCTCCCAGGTCACAAGGCAGCCTTGGTCTTAGCTGCCTCCTGGACCCGCCAGCCACCCCCAGGGCCACTTCCTCCACTTCCTTGTCAACACATGCTGTGTGCCTGGGGCCTCAGACATAGCCTTCCCTGTGGAGGTGAGGTGATCCTTCTTCAGGGTTCTGATTAGCACACCTGGTGATGAAAGACGTTGATCACATCTTTCTGATCTTGCCGGCCTTTCGTTTGGGGAATCTTGGGGGGACACCCAGCCCAGTCCATTGCCTGTGTTTGAATGGAGTTATTTCTGTTGTTGTTGAGCGGCACATGTTCTTGGCGTACTCTGCACAGTCATTCCTCCTCCATGCTGAGCGAGTCCTTTCAGGTTTGTGCTCCCCCACGCCCCGGGAGGTGAGTTCCCTGGCACGCAAACATGGGGATCAGGGCCTGATTCAGTCCGAGACAATCGTGCCGCAGAGAGCAAACCACACGCTCGTCTGACCACGGGACCCTCGTCCCAGCACAGCAGCCCCCAAGGAAGGCAGGCAGCTGCAAGTGCACCTGCAACGAGGAAAGCCTGCGTGGAGAAGGCGTGGACTTGGGTGGGCCCAGCACGGCCCTAGGTGGATCACTGCGTTACAGGGTACGTGATCGCCATGTGTGAACACACTGACCAGAGCCTGAGACGCGGCACCACTGTCCACCATGCTGACAGCCTGAGAACAGCCTGATCCCTGGGCTTCAGGAGCTGGACTCAGCAATCCTTTTCCGATCCACACAGCAGGGAAGACACTGGAATGGCCTCAGAATGGTGACATGAAATCTTGAGTGTCATGAAGTCCCTCAGACAGAGACCAAGGATTCCAGCAGGACCCTGTGACCCCATGGGTATTCTTCCCAGAGTATTCCATTGTTTGAACCCTAGGACAGCCCCAAGGTCCTCTGTTGTCACAATGGAAGCTTCCACCATGCCCAGTCACCTCAGAACCCCCTGCCTCATAAACAGCTGTTGCCTTTTGAAAAAGAATAAGATTCAGCTTCTTAACTGCACTGCCCTCCAATGTCCAGGGGTTCCTGGACATCACCTTTTATTTTCCTGTCCCTCGGGAGGTGGCCAGCTTTGTTTGCGGGTGGTTCACCTGCACTGTATCAATTTGATGGATTTAAACAATGCCCAGGGATCAGCCAAGGACATTGGTGGGTATGTCTGGAGCCCCTCATAGGCGGGGTCCCCTGAGGTTCCCCCTGCACCACATAGGGAACACAGCACCTCGGCCCGACCACTCTGCCAACCTGAGGATCCTGTCTTGGAGCCAGCAGCCATGGACCAAGTTCCCTGAAACTGTGAGGCACATTACCGTTTCGCCCAGAAATCATGGGTGCTGGCGCTGCACCCCCGTGACGGCAAAGCCGCCCGATACCCACGGTCTCAGCATCTCCTGCTCTTTCTTTGCTTCTGTTGCACCTGTTTCTCTGTGCTGTGCCCTGGAGCTTCTCTATCTTACAATCAGGTCGCTCTGTTAGGAACGTGCTTGGGAAGCCGGCCCGATGGTACATACCTGGAATCCCAGCACTCAACAGCCAGGGGCAGGAGTATCACTGCAAGTTCAAGGCCAGCCTGAACAGGGGTTACCCTTTCTCAAAACAACAGACAAAACAAAGCCAGAAACCCCTGCTCCTTGGGAAGTTTTCTGGTTCCTGCAGGAAGTCCTCCCTCGGCTGGCTCAAATTTCCCTCCTTATCATCCCCAGCGAGCCACCAGCCTGGGTCCTACTGCTCCAAGGGCAACCGAAGGCTCTGAAGCTTTTTCCGGCCCCAGCCCGAGGGTTTCCTGGTTGGTCTATGGCTTGTACTGAGCACTGTGTTGGAAACAAGAAGCAACTTCTCCAGAAATAATTTGTGTTTGTTTTGCTAGCAGGCCAGGTCTATACCATTCTGGGCAGTCTCTGGGGGGCCTAGGAACTGATTCTAGGCAATCACTCACCTGACCATGTGTGGTTAGGTCATGCTTTGGGGAAAAATAGCCCAGGTCACCTGAGCAGCTTTTCCACTACAGATCTGCAGCAGGACAGACCCTCTCCAAACCTGAAGCTCGAACACCCAGAGCATCTGAGGAGAGGGACAGGGAACCCAGGTCCCCCAGAGGACCTGGACGACCCAGTCCTGTGATTGCTCTGAGATAGGATCTGGCTACGTTGCTAAGGGGCACAGGCTGGACTGCAACCTGGGGTCCTCCTGCGTCAGCCTCTCACAGTGCTGAGTTCACAGGCGTGCACTACAACGCCTAATTTGAAACAATACAGTTAATACTTTTGGATTCCACTTTTCTGTTTTAAATGCATGAACTGGGAGTTCTCTTTCTTGGAAGATGGGAGGGGGGACGCACGGAACACACTAAGGCACACAACCTCCAACCTGGGCCGCTTTCTGTCAGACTCAGGTAAAGAGCAGCTCGCCCTCCCTCCCTCACAGCTGTCAGGTATCCAGTGCCTCTGCTGAGTGGAGGTGACTTCATTCAGAGCCTCGCCCAGTCATAACTAGAAGGTTGCATAAAGCACTGCAGATACCTGGACAGCTGGCTGGCAGGGCTGACTATGCAGGGACCTTTGGACTCTGAGGGCTGACAGGAGCTTTCAGAGCCAGAAACCAGAACACAGCAGCTCCAAGAAGACACAGATCTTTGCCCAAGCCATTCCGTGTGCTAAGTGTGTAGTGGGTGCCGACTGGACCAAAGCACACACCATGAACAAGGCAGATGGCAGCCAGGCACATCCGGCCAATGTCAGGTCCCGGGGGATGCTCGACCAGGGGCCAGCGGCAGGTGGCTCGGTGCAGCCGTGCACAGGTCCCATGCAACACAAGGGCTTGAGTGCATTCGGGGATCCCAAGCCCATCAGGACAGGCTCGTGTGGTGCCACAGGCAGACACCACTGGGGCTGGGGGCCATCAAGAGTCCAGAATGGAGACAGAAAGACTTTAGACCACAGGGCAGAGGGGGAGGCTGAGGCAGTGAGATCTTCCAGCCCTGTGTCCTCAGCCAGAACCCACAGCAGATTCCATGCAGCACTGAGGTGGACGGAGGAGAAGCCCCTAGCTTGGGACCCCTGCTGGCAGGACCCACAGTTAGTCTAGAATCCCTGAGATAGAACTCGAACAACAGAAGCTGCCTGGGCTGTGCTGACAGTAGAAGCCAGTCCACCAAGGACAGGGCTGCAGAGGGAGGGACACTCCCAGCCCACTATGACTATACAGACCCAGTCACAAAGGTGCCATTCTGGACCAATCAGAAACTTTCTATATTCCACTCTTCATTTATAGCTGGTGTTCTAAGCAGGGCCAATCATATGTTCTCGATCATTCTCATTTGCATTCGGGCGCAACCAATCCAGAGACACTTCCTGTATTCTTTATCTACCTATGACAGGGAGCCAGTCCAGCACTTGACAGGAAAGTTTCCACAGGGGGTGACCCCAAGTGAGCATTTCATATGGTAACCATCCAATTCGTTATTTGCATGACAGAGAGGTGACCCTATGGTTTGGGTACAGAAGACCCCATGGCCCTACTGTCAGCTCCTCACCAGCCTGTGCTGCCTTGCTGAGCACACTTCTTTTCTGCCTTCAGTAACGGTGCACCCTCGCTGCCTTTCCTGTGCATCCTGTCCAGGTCTTTAGGATACCAGGGGCCTGGTAAGAGCCCCAGAACCCATGTACTGATTGACCCTTTCCCCCTTCCAACAGGACGACAGACAGCTGCCTCATGGCCTCCTTTTTTCAGCTCCAGGGAGCACTAACATCCGGTTTCTGAGCCGCATGGCCGGGGTGGGGGGGTGAACACAGCTGGGCTTGCACCAGGGCCTGGTTCCAAGCTTCCAGACATGCTCCTTGCTGTGTGCCAAGATGGCCCTGACAGCCTCTCGACAGGCCTTCTGATGGTGCCCACGTATCACTGCAGAAAACCCCTCACCAACCTGGAGGCTGTGGGTGGAGTAGGGTGACTGGCAGAGACCAAGGGCCTGCTCTGCCTGGGCTGCAGATATCTGCCCCAGAGCGGGTGGGGGAAGCATCCCAGCTTCAGAACAGCTCGGCGGCCTGTGCCTCAAATGCTTCTCAGATGACTTCGAGGTGCCCTGTCACACTGGGTCAGAGATGGGGGCAGGATCAGCAGGCTGAATTCCAGCAGGACTGAGGTGGGGGGCTTTCGGAGGTAACAGTCTATGGGAAGAAGGCATCCAGCTGCAATGCTGGCAGTCCTGGTACGTGATGAGGTCCCCTGCCAGGAGCCCGGGGCAGCATGGTCACCAGGCAGCCACAACACACACAGGAGCCTTCACAGCACCCGGCCACTGGACTGGACCCTGGTCTGTAACATCCCGGCCATGCTTCTGCAGCCCCGGGACATGACCCCAAGTCTCTGCAATAGAATCCAATCTTGAGGTCCCAAGTCCTCCCTGGGCAACGAAAGGTGGTATTCGTGGGTCCCCACTCTTTCCCTTCTCTTGGCCTTACCATCCCCTGGAACCCATGCCTTCACCCCAACTGGAACGCGCCCCGCATGAAAAGCAAGACCGGCCCAGGCCCAAGTCCCCCTTCTCCAATGCTGCCTTCACTCTCCAGAGCCTCTTCTGTGGGCCGCACCCCATGAGATTAGGGAGAGGAGAGCACGAGGCTGCCAGAGCTGAGCCAGAGTGGTAGCTCTGATTTTCATCTCACAGGGCCCCTCCTGCCTCACCCTCAAGACAGCTGGGCAGTGCTGCTGAGCTATGGGTGTCTCTGAGCCTGACTTGCAGGGCTACAGGGGAGGCTGGGCCCTCACCCCACCGGGCCCTGGGCTATGCAGGAAGAGACATAGGGAAGGTTCTAGAAGGCTGTGGTGTAGCGAGCACCGCCAAGGGCACGGTCCTTACTCAGCGCTGCCACTGAGGCTGGCTCTGAAGTAACCCGGGCAGAAAGGGGCAGGGCTGCGGCGCTGCCTCAGGAGCCTCACTAGGAAACCAGGCGGAAGACGAGAACACGTGATCCTCAGGCGCGCCCCGCACCCCTCATGCCATAGCGGGCACCCAGGAACCCTTCCCTGTCCCGGGTGTGACTCTGGGTCCCAGACTGGCCTGGCCATGGCAGGAACATCGCTAACCTAACTGTGACCTGAGCCCCTTCTGGGGCCCTCCCCGGTGTACCGCTGGTTGGCGCCTCTCCAAATCACCCTCTACGTACCCCCACCCCTGGCCCCCATGCCACTCCGACGCCCTCTCCCAGCACCCTCATGCCACTACGCTTACCACCTTTGCATCTGCAGCTCTGGGGTCCCTGCACCCCTCCAAGCAGGTCCTGCCTCATGCCTCAGCTCTGCCCTGCCTCTGGCCACGCCCTTCCACCGCCCCCTCCCCCACATCCTGGTCTTGGCTTTGGCCCCCTCTGGTGGAGGAGTCCTGGCTTCTTCTGTGTTCCTCTGGCATTAGGTTGTCCACTCTCATTAAAAACAACTGCCAGAAAGGCCTGGCTGATGGCACAAGCCTGGGATCCCAGCACTGTGGGAGGCCGAGGCAGGAGGATCCTTATTTCAAGCCCAGCCTGGTTAGTTTAGCCACCCTGGAGTCCTTGTCTCACTGTGAAATATAAAGTTAGGGCTGGCAGGTGGCACCTCAGTGCAGAGGCCCCAGGTCCCATCTCAGCACCATTCTGAGAAACTGGCTACCACACTGAGAAGAAAGCATTAACCTTACAGCTGAAACAAGCAGATGCCTCTAACATAGCCAGGGGCATGTGTCACATATCCACAGATGAAGTGTGCCCAAATCCCACGGTGGTATTCCACCTGTTTAATCTGCTAAGTGTTGTCACCAGTGACCTGCTCATGGTACCCCCACCCCACCTTGCTTTGAACTCACCCCATCCCTCTCTTTCCAGCAGCCCTGGAATCCTCTTTGCTGGGTGTCTCTTTAGGGTGATTAAAAAACCCAGTGACTGCTGTGTAGAGCACCATCCAGCCCAAAGGCAGCTCCCAAAACAGGACTGTGTCCTCATTGGGCCTTAGTCACCGGATCTGGCACGCTGTGACTTCTGCTCCTCCCCAGGTTCACAATGACCAGGAAAGAGAGAGGGTTTGAATCCATGCAGGACATGGAGGGGGCCAGGACAGCACAGTCCCCCAGGAGAAAGGACCCCGAGCTGCTGCGGGAAGCAGCAGGTATGGTGGGAGGGGCGTGTAAGGTATTGTGAGGGGATTCATGGTGATTGGTTTTTTGCATTACACATTTTTAAATGTTTAAGCATTCACTGCTTTTCAGCTGCACCTCTTCCACCAGGGGGCTGATCTGAACCCTCCCTGTAAGAGGGAGCTCCTGCAGGCTGAGGGGACAGCACAGCTGAGTCAGGGTGCTGTGGCACTCGCTCAGAGCTGCTCTGTGCAAACGACTGGAGAAAATAAACAGGCAGCCCAGGAACAGAAGGAAAGTAAGTATGGAAACCGGAGAAATGGGGAAACTCACAGAGGTGCTCTACTTGTCTGTTAAACATAGTTGCAGAACTTGGATTAAGATGGGCAATTTCATGAAAAAATACAACTCTTCCAGCTGATTCAGTAGGCAGAGAAAATCTAAACGACTCATTTCCATAGGGAGCACAGGGAGGGCCCAGGGACTCAGCTCAGCAGCACAGGGCCTGCCTGGCAAGTGGGAGCTGTCAGTTCCATCCCTGTACCCTCTCCCCTAAAAGAAGGGAAACAGGGAAAGTCGTCAAGGCACTGCCGCCTGAGCACACGAGGACCTGGGTTTCTCAGAGAAATTCTGCCAGGGTTTTAGAGCAGACAACACCCTATGCAGAGCCAGTGCTGTGCACTCTGGATCCAGCCACCTCTGAAAAAGCCCCTTCTCTGGCTGCCTGAGGCTTGAGGGGACTTCTAGACACAAGCCACAACCACCAAGGTGCAGACAGCCACCAAAGATCAAAGTAAGTGGGGCATGGAGCTGCCCGCCTGTAATCCCAGCACTTGGGAGGCTGAGAGTGGAGGGTTGCTGCATTTGTCTCCAGCCAGGGCTGCACAGAGAGTTCAAAGCCAGACTGAATTACAGAGGAAGACCTCAACTCAAAAAACAACAAACAAACAAACAACAACAACCACCTCAAAACGATATGCTTCTACCCCTTAGGATAATTCTAAATCAGGAATACTGTCATTGTGTCTCCCTAAGACAAAGTTTATGTGACCTCAATAAAAATTCCAATGCCTTTTTGCAGGGAGGTCTGTAATACCTGCATAAAAAAATAACACTGCCATTGTGAAAACTTTGATTTATCAGTCATGTGGATGAGGTAACCACGTAGGTATGAATTTTCAGTGCCTGAAACACTGCGGTACTGATCACACAGCCCTAACGGGAGAAACAGAAGTGTGGAAGGAGCCAGGTGCAGGAGCACACACCAATATCCTGGCATGCTCGTGGGCTGAGGCAGGAGGACCCCAAGTTCAACTCCAGCTTCAGTGGTCTACCCACTCAGTGAATTCCTGCCTCAAACAACCAAAAATAGAAAAAAAATAAATAATACCAATGTTTACAGGCCGGGAGGTTCCTTCATGGGAAAGGTCCTGGTCTCAACCCCTAATGCCATGGAAAAAAGAGAGAAAAAAGAAGACAGAAGGAGAAAGAAGGGAGGGGAGATCCAAGGGAGGGAAGCCCCCACAGTGAAGACTGTGTCAAGGTGTGGTCTGATCCCCTTAGAAGGTGAGGTGATCCACGCACGCTCCTGACACACGGGGACCCACCTGACAGTGGGATGGACTTGACCCTGCTCCCCCCATGGGGACAGGTTCCCGGTGGACTGCAGATCCCGATACGAAACACAAAACTACAGCTTATTAGAAAAAGCACAGACATTTCTCCCAAAACCTGGACCAAATCCATTATTCTTACTAAAAAGACGAAAAAGCAGAGCAAAATAATTCCAGCAGAATTTGAACAGATCTACCTGTGTACGCACCTCTCCATGGGGAAAGCAATAGAAAATAGACACATCACCAAAACAACCAGAGCCAAAAGACCTGACACACTGCAGAAAATGTCACCAATTTTTCACCAGCTCCCTGTGTTAAAAATGCAACCCTCACAGGTGAGGTGTGCTGTGCCTGGGGCATGGCCTGGAACTCCTGGGAAAGTTAGGTCAGCTCCTGGGCTTAGGAGCCCTGGCCTGCTGCACACTGGCACCCCCTCCTGTCTGGAGAGGGGAAGCACGGGAAGCCAAGGAACTCAGGGAGGCCCCACAGCTAGTGCCAGACAACCTGAAGTCCCAGACAGGTACCAGGCAGGCTAGGAGCCACCCTAGGTCTCTCCACAGCACGTGTCACCTCCCGTGGGGCCTCCTAGCTGGTGGTGATGGCCCAGGGGCTCCGTGGACATTTAGAAGTGTGCCACTCTTTACCCACCTCCTCCTCCTGTGACAAACAGGATCAGGTTTGGGGAAAGCTGGATGCCAAGGTCATTCTGGAGACAGGAAATGCCCGGGGCAATGGAACTCACTTGGAATGTTCCAAGGCTTTGGTCCTGGGAGTATCCCACCCTCTGCTGTCCGTGCCGAGCTTTTCAGGACCTCGTGGCATGTGTCCTCACACAGAGGGCCCCTGGAGCTCCTCTCCCTTTGTTGATGTCTCAGAGACCTGGAAGGAACACACAGAAAATGCCTGAGGGTCGCCCCTTTTAAGGAGGATCCCATAGCCTTGGGTGGCACCCGATGCCTGTTACCTGCAGGGGCTCAGGCCTTCGTGGCCTGCAGCTCCGAGTAAAGACTGCCCTGTCATGTGGCGAAGCTGCTGACCCTGCCTGGTGACCCTGCAGACACAGCCGCCCTGCCCCACTGTCCACTTGACTCCGAGGCCCCCTCCTGGCCCAGCCCCAGCCCTGCCTCCTCTTCCAAGGACAACAGAGGGGAGTCAGGGCCCAGGTGCTGGGCGGATCCTGTTCTGGTGGTACCTGGACAGGAGGATGGGAAAATGAGGACCCTGACTCCCCAGAGAGAATGCACTTTTGCTGCCCCAGCTGAGATCATCCAGGGCCCATGTGCACTCATCTCAGCCCCAGAGAGCCAGTGTGGGGGACCTGGTCCACCCTGACCACCAGTGACATCAAAAGCCCCCGTCCCTTTCATGTCAGGGGACACTTTTGTGGCTCATGTCTGGCGAGGGGCCAGTCCAGGCCAGGCTTGAGCTGCCCCAGGACCACCCCATCCAGGGCGCCAAGAGCCAGACCCTGTGCCCACTGCTGATGTCATCTGTGTCCCCCCACCACCTGTTCATCCTAGGATGCAGATGCTCAGGCCTGGTGGTGGTGCTGCTGTGGGACTCCTATTCGGGGTCCCCAGCTGGGGCTGCACTTCCATAGCTGGGCCTCTGAGTGCAGGCCGGGAGCAGACAGCGCCATAGGACCTGGGGTCCCTGCAGCAGGTTCAGCCCCAGGAAGGAAGCTGAGGCAGGTACCAGCTCCCCTGGTGCCAGAAGCACTGTAGGAGGCGCTTGGGCTGGGTGCTGTCTTGGTGCTTCCCTGATGTGATGCTTCGGCTGCTGTGGTGATTCGGGGGCTCAGAGAAGGGCCCTGAACTCCCCAGGAACGTGCACTCCATGACACTGCCCCCAGGGACTCGGCCAGAGGTGATGCCAGCACCCGCTCCACAGAGCTGAGAGCTCTCCGGGCTCGGTTGTGTTACTCAGGGTAATTGTGCTTGAACACAGACGCGGGCTTTCCTCACCTCCTGGCTTCCTGGCTGCATCCTGCTTGTGAAATCTAGCTTGTCCCAAAGGAAAATCACTTCCAGCAGGACAAGCAGACAGTGCCCCTCGGCACTGGGTACTCACTGGTTCTGGAAGGCACGGTGAGGACCCCATGAACTGGGCCGGCTGCAGTATGGAGTCCACGGGATTGGCTCTGGGTCTGCCTCTGAGAATGGTTGCATGCGTGCACACATGCATGCACGCACTTGTTCACCTGAGTGTGCATGCCTCAGGGGCGTGGCCTTGGGGCTATGATGGTCCTCACCCCTCTGCGCAGTTTGGAATTTCAGCATTCAATATGTGTGTCGATTGCTCCTCACGTTACGTGCGGGATTTATGCAAAAACACTGGTGCACCCACCCATGAGTACGCGGCCTCAGAGATGCCCAGGACAGGACTTGCTCCACTCCTGGGGTGGCAGCCCGGCTTTGGCATGCTGTGTCCAGGGTGCTCAGCTACAGAGCGCTCTGCCCGGTAGGAACTGATTATCTAATGCCACTGTGAACTTCACACTTCTCCCCCACCAGTGCCCTGGACACGTTCTGACCCATTGGAGCCGATGGCTACCACTTCCTCTGTCCCCTGTCATGGCCTGGGGTGTGCTGGGAAGAGTGGCTTCTGTCCTCACCAGGGAAATGCAGCCACGCTTTCTACCTGCCATCGACTGGACAGTGCATGAGGATGGACACGGATTGAGGGCATCTGGCTGCATTGACCAACCTGGCAGGGCTGAGAACTGGGGGCCCAGGGAGAGGGGACAGGGTGGGTCTCAGGGACATTGGACAGGGAAACACAGGGGTCCTGGGCTACAGGACAGAGTGTGGGATCAGGCAAATACCCTGGGTCACCCCCAGACAATGAGACACAGCCCGGCTCCACACACTATGTACAGCCAGAGACTGGATAGGTACTGGAAAAATTAGAGATTTTATTTGCACAAATACTTCACAAGTGAATCTCAGAGCAGTCACAAGCAGGGGACAAGCTTCTGTCCCACAGGTTGGCAGTGTCTTGGGTGGCTGCATCTCAGGAGGGCCGGGGTGCTGCTCCCACAGAGGCCAGCCTGGAAGGAGCACCCCATCCCCAAGGCACAGTCCCTGTGTTACCCCCAGAGCCCGTGTGCAGAGCTGCGCCCATGGTCCAGGGCTCATGGGCACAGACAGCGATGCCAGCGTGGCCCCTGGTTTCCTGGGAGCCTGGGGCTGGAGGGACCCACGAAGCAGCTTCCTGTGCTCTGTCTTCTCTGCCTCATGCAGAGCTTCAGGTCACAGTGGAGCTGACAGTCTCGAGTGGAGCCCACAGGGGCAACTTCAGAAAGAGAGGCTGCTGCCCTCCCCGGAGGGCACCACTGAGCAGCGCTCCAGGTATTGAGGTAGCGAGAGGAGGAGCTGACGAGGTCCCAGGGCATCGGGAGCCCATGCTCACCATGGACCCTGTCTCGACATACCAGAGGGCCACAAGCTCCTCAAGTAGCCTGGTCCTGCCCCTTGCCTAGAAGAGCTGGGGCTACAGGGTGTTGGCGAGGTGGCCTGGGGCCATGCTGAGTATCCCCAAGGGGAGCCCCTCCAAGCCTTGCAGCAGACACAGGGCACGGGCCTGCTTTTGCCTTCACTTCCTGTCTCAGCCTGGGAGTGAATGGTTTCCGCCATCCTCCCAAGGCACCCATGAGGGGCTGGGCCTTTCATTTGTGGCTCATTTCCAGCCAGTGTCACCACTCAGAGCAGCGAACAAACCCACAAAACAAATAACCAGACCAGGCCAGCCACAATGGTGGGTGCCTGGGATCCCAGCAAGCTGGGAGGCTGACGTAGGAGGATCTCAGTTGCAGGTCCACGCTGGACAACTTAGCAAGATCTTGTCTCAAAATACAAATTTTTAAAAAGGGCTGGGGATGTAGCTCAGTGCAAAGGCCCCAGGAGCATGAAAAAATAAATTAGCAAACCAGACTGGTCACGGAGGGCCAGGCCACAGGCCTCCCAGTTGGCTGTCCCTTGAGGTGACCTTCTGTGGCCCAAGCACCTTCCTGGCCTGTCTCCTCCCTCCTCGGGCCATCTGGTCACTGAGAGACCACCATCCAGGCCCTCACAGAACAAGTTTGGGAGGAGCACTCAGGGGGCAGCACCACCCCTCCTCTGTCCTTGGCCCTGGCCTGCACCTGAGGCCTGGTCCCCACTTACGAGTAAGGATCAATGGCTACAGGCTGCAGAGGGTACCACAGCCTGCATAACACAGGGACAGTGCGGTCAGCCATCAGTGTTTACTGAGAGAGAAGGGGCAGCTGCCAGGAGTTAAGTCAGTCCCCCAGCCCCATGCCTGCAGCTGGGTTCCCGGCTGGATGTTATGGTGGAGCCCCAGGATTAGCTGTTCACCTGTTCAAAAGGACCAAGAAATGGGGTGCGTGTCAGGACACAGCGGCAGAAAGCTGCTTCTCCTGGTGTGATGTGGGGGCCTCAGGGCTGGGTCAGCAAGCTCTGTAGCACTCAGGGACAACTCATTCTCCTGTGTGGAGCTCAGGGGCTGCAGAAGTGGCCATGGGGTCATCAAGGATCCATGCAGCTTGGCTGCTTTCCACTGATGGCCAGGCCTCTCCCCATGGCTGCCTCCAGAGCCACCTGCCAGGTAGGCACAAAGGACACACCTGGCACCTGCTTCCCCGGGGCCAAGCACCTTCTGTTGCCCATAGTGATAGCTTCTCAGAGGTGACGGGGCAGGGAGGGATGGGGCACAGGGATGGGGTCCCGTGGTTTGGGGTCTGCAGGCTGGGTGGCCCAGGGCTCCATTAGGAGCTCGATGTACACAGAAGTGCAGGGAGAGGGAGCAGCGTTACCCGCATCTGCCGGGAGAGCCAGTCCATGAACACTGTCACGTTTGCGTATACCCCGGGTCTGAATGTATCAGCACAGCCGTACCCCCAGCTTGTGTCTCCAATCAGCCACCAGATGCCATTCTTGTCTGTGACCAGCGGTCCACCGCTGTCACCCTGTGGAGAAAGAGAGTCAAGTTGCAGCCCTGGTGGCTGGGACCCTGGTGAATCTTACCAACACCTGTCCAGGGCCACTGGGTCCCACGTAGCCCAGCGGATTGGGCTTTTATGGAGCGGAAGCTTCCCCATGGAATGCTTCTACTGAGGCTTCCAGCTCTCTGGGAGGTGCCCGGGTCTCCAGGGACCCCCACACCCATCCCTGCAGGGCCTGGACCCGGCAGCAGTCACCTGGCAGGCGTCCACCCTGCCCTGCAGGAAGCCCGCGCAGATCATTTCAGGTGTGATCAGGTTGTGGTACAGTAACTTGCTGTTGCACCTGGAGTTTTCGATGAGGGGCACCGAGGCAGAGTTCAGCTCTTCTGAGGTCTTCCCTAGGGACAGGCACAGGCTAGTGGCTGTCACCAGAATCAAGGATACTCTAGGCCCTTTCCTCCCACCCTAAAGCCAAGTGCTCTCCTGATGTGTCTAGGAGGGTGGCTGGGGATTGCTCCATTAAGCAGATGGGGGAAACTGAGGCATAGTTTGGGCCACTGCCCAGAGCCATCCACCACTGAGTCGCACCACCTGGATTGAAACCAGGACCTCCCACACCCAGCCTTGGGCCACCTTCTGTGTGCCCACAGCCGCCTGTGCCCCGGAGCCTCACCTCTAAAGTAGGTGGCCCCCCAGCCAGAAATCCAGCTCTGCTGATTAGGGTCCAGACCCAGGCCGGGGTTGGGCAGGCACACGGGCTTCACACTGTCTATCTCCAGGAAGGAAATCCTGGTCAGTAAAGGCCAGGGCAAGCGGCCCCTCACCACAGGCCTGGTATCCAGCTCCCTGTGCTCCCACCTGCCCCCTCCCTGCAGGCAAGAAGCTCCCCAGAGCTGTGCTACCGTGAGCAGAAGCAGAGGCCAGCGGCTTCCACAGCATGGGGCGAGGGACCCCAGGACCAAGGGGATCCGGACAGTGGTCCTGAAGCCGATTACAGCATGAATATGGGACGGGTGGTGATGCACATCTGTAATCCCAGCTACTTGGGACACTGAGGATTGGGAGTTTGAGCCCAGCCTGAGCACTTAGTGAGAGTGTCGTAAAGTAAAATATAAACAGGGCTGGGAACGCTGCCCTGTGTCCAGCGCTTGCCTGGAAGTGCTCAAGATGGGAGAAAGAGAGAAGGAAAGGTAGGGAACTCGTGTTTCTTTGAGTTATGACTTTTAAGTGCTTTGCCTGGCAGAACTCAGGTGGAAAGATAAAGCCAGAAATTAATGAAGGCCCCCAGGAAGGCTGGTAACCTCTGGAGACCCCCCATGTCAGACCCAGGAGCACCACTGCCCGCTACGCCCCTGCACCTGCAGAGTCGGGAATGTGGCTGAGCTAGCGGACCTGGGAGGACCCAGCTGTACCTAAGTCATGCTCCTCCCGAGGTCTCCGTCACTGTGGCCAGAGGCTCTGGTGTCAGCCTCCCCTGAGGCCACTGCACTGATACTCCACGGTGCACAGGACGCATGTCCCTGCCACCACCTGCCTCTCAAGACCTTCTGGCCACCCCAGCCCCACACACCATTGAAAGCCAGCGGTGTCTGCAGCTTCAACAGAGCGATGTCGTTGTTCTTGGTTTTGCTGTTGTAACTGGGGTGCGGGATCACTTTCTCCACAGGGATGCCTTCTTTGTGGATCATCAAGGACTGCCGCAGGATGCCCGCAAACACCATCCAGTTCTGCGCGTTTCTGAGGTGTCTGGACAGGTGGGGACAGCACAGGGGCCTGAGGATCACGGAGGGCATCCTCCTGAGGTCCCTGAAAGCCACACACACCAGAGTGAAGTCCAGGACTCCACAAAACGCAGAGCAGGGGAAAGCAGGGTTTGACCTGGCCCCTCCCACCAGCCTCTACCCCTCCCAAGCCTGGCCCTCTGTGATCCTGGGTCCCTTGTGGGGGACCCTGGCCTCCTCCTGTCTGCAGTATCAGCCACAGCAGGACTGAACCCCAGCTAAGGCTTCAAACCCTGGGGGACTGGATCTCACCGACCTTGCTACGCTGGAGAGTTTCCCTGCACATAGCAGGTGCCTAAAAATGGCTCCAAGGCACAAGCTGTGGCCTTGACCAGGGAGTTTTAGGAGTTTTAGGAGAACCCTAGTTCTGGGTGTGAAGGGAGGCATGGAGGAGACTCTGGGGGTGAGCAAGGTGGCCTCCTTTGCCTCAAGCAGCCCTGGGAGATACTCAGGGAACTGCCTGAGGTGACACGGCCTGAGGACTTACATCGTTGCTACGCAGTGGGCCGCTGTCAGGATCCACCTGGGTGTGATGATGGAGCCTCCGCACAGGTGGACGCCCTGGAAGTGCAGGCTGACCTGCCACGGCCACTGGCCCTGTGTGGCAGCTGTGCCACCCACGATCCTGTTGTGGGTGGCTGTAGGGTGGGCCCCACACTCTGAGGACAAGCACAGGGCCACCACGTGGTGAGTGGGAAGGGGTCTCACGGGGACATGCTCTGCCTCCTCCTGAGACTCAGATGCCCCTGTCTCAGGCTTCCCCTAGATGGCAGAGCCTTCCCTTCAGCCACTGGAGCCAATTATGCCTCGGAGGTGTGGACAGTTCAGGGGGAAGAGTGGGCAGGTGTGTGGGGCTGGAGAGGGCAAGGTGGGAGTGGGGTGCAGTGGACCTGGAGCCCCCACTCTGGGCAGTCCAGGACCACTCTCCAAAGGAAAGGAGAACCTCATGGTGCCCCTGTGATGGTGACCAGAGAGCCCAAGGTAGGTGGCCTAGTGGCCGAGGAGGACATTTAGGAAGCCAAGGTACGGGAGAGCACCTCCAGGGACCCAAGCCGTGCCATAAGACAAGGGGATTGGGGTGCAGGGACCCAGAGTGAGAGCCATTGGGGAGCCCCCAGCAGGTTCACAATGCTGACTTCCTCGTCAGCTACTGCCTTGTGCAAGACTCGGGCACAGCCCCACCTCCAGATGCCCAGAGTTGCTTCTCAAGGGATGGAGCTGCTCCCAGGTACAAATGTAAGGAGGGAAGCTGGGCGTGGGCGGGCAAGCCTGTCAGACCAGCACTCTCAGGAGGCTAAGGCAGGAGAATTGCCATGGGTTCAAGGCCAGCCTGGACTGCATGGTGAGACCTTGTCTCAAAAAACAAAAAAACTAAAAACAAAAAACCAGAAGTAGGCAGCATGGGTACAGACTCACCTACACAGCGCAGGGAGACCACGCTTCGGGAAGAGCAGGCATCACTAAAAAACAGAGCCCAGGTCACCGCGGTGCACGGCAGACAAGGACACACGTCCCCTCCCCTGCCTCCCCAGGACACAAGGCTCCCTTTACTGAAGACCCTAGCATAGTGGCAAAATCTGCACAGGACACAGAGTGGAAGTGCAGGGCTCAGGTCCCCACTGTGCGACCTGGGACGAGCTGCTTAGTTTCTCTGAACCTGTTCCCCCTGGTCAAAGGAGGTGGGGTAAGAGTCCTCAGGCTGAACCCCCCCAGCCTGCAAAGCGGGACCCTGCACCCAGCTCCTAACATCCAGGCTCCTCCCAGCCCTCAGGAGCGGGAAGTTCCTCCCCGGCAGAGGCAGTGCAGGCGGACTGCAGGCGCACTGAGAGTGTGCAGTTAGTTGCCCATGGGTCATGTGCCTAAGGTGCAGGGGACATGTGTGGATGTGGCCTTCCTGTTTGGACCTGGACCCCCCGTTATGTTCATATCAATATTCCAAGTCTGAAAAGTCTGAAACACTTCCAGCCACAAAGGATTCCCACAGGGGGCGCCCAGCCCACCAATGCTTGTCTGCAGAACCTGCCTGGGCTCCCTGCAGCGGCCTCTCGTGGCCCCTTGACCTCCCTTGGTAACTGGGCCTAGGTACAGCCTGAAGCTCTGGCCTGGCTCCATTTCAACCCCTCCTAAGGACACATGGTCAGTGCAGGGGGCCACAGAGCTTCCACTTATGGATGTGCCCAGGGGTTCCCCGGGGCCCCTCCTGAGATGCCCGCATGAGTTTCCCTGTCCACTGCAGATGTGGCACCCTTGGCTTGGGCAGTCGGAGCAGAAGAAAGCACAAGATTCTGAAAGGTGACCTTTCCCCAGGTGACAGGGACACTGCCATGCAGCCACCAGTAGGTGGGAGCCAGGGGTTTGCAGAGGAGCCAGGCCAGGAGCAGGCAGAGCCTCAAGCACGCAAGGGTGGCTCTGAGCCTCCCCTGGAGCCCAATCCTGCCACCAGGGGGGGACATCACATTCTAGAGCAGGACCTTCTCTCTTCCCTGCAAAGTTGATGCCACCCCGAGGGTTACCTGGACTCCTGCCAAGGATACCAGCCCGACCCCTGCCTACTCCAAAGAAATGAACACTGGGTACCTCCCCACCCAGGCCACCCTGAGTGCACTGACAGCCCACAGCTGCCCAAAACACACACAGGACACAAACTAGATGGCCCAGTCCTTCTTCCCTCCTAGCCGTCTCTCAGTCAGGTCCCCCTGAGCTTCTGTGCACTCCTTCTGCGGGGCACATGGGGACCTGCTCAGGATCACAAGCCAGCTTCAAGGTGTAGGAAATGTTTGCCATGCTGAACGGGACGTTTGGGTCCCAGGTCCAGGAGGTTATCCCCACTTCAGCGTGGGTCAGGGCCAAAGCACTCAGGAAGTCCAGCTATCTGGATGTCCCCTAGGAAGGGGACTTTTGGAGCTGAGACCTGCAAAGTCTCAGGTGGACTAGTAAAGCTGTTCCTGGTGAGGAGCCCCAGACAGCTTCCTGGGACCCCAGATAGCCAACTGGAACCTCAGACAACCACCTAGGATCCCCAGACAGCCACGTGGTGCCTGGCGCTCCACTGCTATGGCGTGAGTGGGACTTGGTCCTTAAAGTCTTTGTTAGTGGAGTCCCCACCACCAATCACGGGGGCTCCGGAAGGACAGGGAGAGCACACAAAGGACACAGCCCTCCCATCGTGCTGTGCAGGAGCCTGAGGGGCCCTGAGCACAGCCAGCGCTGCAGCCTGGGAAACTTGGACCTCCAAAGCCACAAGGCAAAACACCTGTCCCTTGTCACTGAGGAGGCCGCCGCTGGCGTTTGGTCATAGCAACAATGACCTCAGCTTCACCAGCAGTAAACCTTCAGCCCTGAGTGCAGCCAGGCCTTGATGGGTTCTAAGTGACCCCAGGCCCAGCACTGCAGCCCAGAGGAAGACGCTCCAAACCTGGCACCCAGGTTCTCCTGCCAGATTCTGCTGAGGAAAGAGCAGGGAGCTGGTACCTGAGAGTCAGCTTTTTATAGAAGTTGGTGCTGCTGGAACTCCTGTTGAGCTTCATAAAGCTGGTTGCCCCGCTGTCATCCACTACTCCTTGGGTAGAATAAAAACTGTTCCTAAAACAGTGGGAAATGGGTACAATAGCTGTCATATGGATGCTGTGACACACTGGAAGCCCGAAGCCTTACACTGGGAGCAGGAAGGGTCACCTTAGCATCAAGAAACCAAAGGGGAGCTCAGATCACAAGATACCTTATTACACAGTCTGGTTACCTCGTGCCTGGAGGTTAAAGTCCTGCAGGGATTCTGTTCTAATCCGATGAGGGTGAGGACAAGGACAAGATTAGGGATGCAGGGACTCGGGTGGGGTGTGATCAAAAGGTCCGGTGACTGCACCCCTAGGACACAGTACCGTGAGTCCCCTCAGAACTCCCTCACTGTGAGCACACTCATCCCATTGTCCCGGCCATTTCCTGCAGCAGCTCTGGAGCCCTCTCTCCTGAGGGCCTTAAACTGCTCTATCCTGGCTGCCTTGGTGTCCTAAATGGGTTCACACCATCTCCCTGTCATGGTCATTTGGACTCTGAGGCAGAGCCAGAAGTCACAGGGCACCAGATCCGGTGTGTAAGGCGGACGAGGGCACAGTGTGTGGTTTTTTCGAGCTGCCTCTCTGGCGGGTGGCGCTGGGCAGCAGCACGCACCATAGTTTTGATCATAAAGACCCTTGGGAAGGGGGACTCCAGAGCTGCAGAGAGTGGCCACAACCCTGGGATGAGTGTGTCCCAGTGGGGTGTGTGGGATTTTATGGGGCATTCATGGCAATGTGTCTTGTACTATAATACCATTTTAAAATTTAAATTTAAATTAAATTAATGGGAAATTTAAATTTTCATTGATCACATCCATGCACCCTAATAAAATATGTGGGTTGTTAAAATCCTCCCTGGTGTTATAAATTTCCCTCAGCTTCCTGAGCTGTGATGGGTGTGTGACTCCTCCCTGCTGGCTGGGGACAGCATTTTGAAGGCTTTCACCACGCAAGATGCCAGCCTTCTTATTGGTGATAATCCCCTTTAAAATCAGGAACCCAGATTTCCTGATATGTGGAGTCACAAGGAGACAGCCTGAGACACTAATGACACTGCCCTTTCCCCCAACCTGAGCCCGGCCCGCAGCTTCCCGCAGGTGTCCCTTTTTTCCAAGAGGACATGAGGGAGGGGCACCCTCAGTGCATCCCAAGCCCGGGACCTCTGCCACCAGAATGCTGAGCTGAATAAGCCCCCCTTCTTTACAATGACCTGGGCTCAGGCATTCTGCTATAGCAGCCCAGAGGGAAGGGCAGCAGGGTTCTGCAGGGCCCCCACCCTCTTTTTTGCTAGCTGCGTGGAGCTAAGGATTGTCTCTTCCACTCCCAACTTCTCAATGGCTCCCACGCAGGCACAAAAAGGAACAAAGGCTGCCCCATGCTCACACTCATGCCCTGCTCTGGGGTCTCCTGCACTGGGAAGGTGTTGCCTAGCAACCGGGAAGATGCAGGGCAGGTGAGCACCTTTCAGTGGACTGGAGGAGAGGGCAGTGCTGTCAGAAGCTGACACCTGTCCCCGGCAGCTGCAGCCTGTACTTCCATGGACAGACAGAGTGACGTGGTCTCCCTCTGCCCCTCGGGAGTGGCTGTCATGCCTATGCTGGGTGCCCACCCAGGGCACACTCACCTGTAGCCCATGTTTGTGCAGGCCACAGGCACGTAGTTCTCGCTCCAGTTTTCGTGGCACACGGGGTACCAGGACTTGCTCTCCAAGGAGTAGGCCTGGAGGATGAAGTTGGGTCCGTAGAGGCGAACTGCAAGAGAAGCCAGGCTCTAATGTGAGTGTGTGTTGGGGGCGCTGGGCCCACACTGTCTGCAGATACCAGGTGCTGGGGTGGCTGGTGGTGCTGGCTCTTGTCACATCCAAGGGGATCCACATGGTTCCCCTAAAATTCTTTTGCACTCACTACAAAAATGAATGGAGACAGGCATTGTCCCCAGGGCCTCCTCCACCGCACCCTGGGCTGGAGAGGTCCAGCTGCCCCCCAATGGAAAGGAGCGGATCCCAGACACACAGTCCTGGGCTCCAGACAGGCTCGCAGCCCTGACACATGCAGCGGCTCTGAGGACATGGTGGCAAGAGCAGGAAGCCCGAGGTCAGCGCAGGATGTCTGAGGGGACAGCAGAGCAACGGCAGGTGAACAGATCACATCCCTCGGAACTGAGGGGGGGCCCGGGTCCTTGGTTACCCTGGATTCCCTTCCAGCGATGCCAGGGTGCAGCAGGACGCAGCAGGCATGTGTCACTAGGGAAAAGCAGGGAGCTGGGAGCAGTGCTCTGGGGTTGGGGTGAAGGCGGGCGGGCCTAACCGTAAACACATGGGACAGTGGTGGCACCTTCTGGCTGGTCCCCAGGGAAGGACCACACCAGGTGGCCGTGCTCTGACGCTGTGGTGCTGAGTGAGTCCACCTGGCGCCTGGGACCCGCCACATGTTAGTAGAGAAGAACACAGAAACCTCGACATAGCCGGACAGTGGATATTGTTCCACACTGCAAAGAAAGGTGCCCTGCGGCCAGGAAAGCCGTGCCGGGCCTTGAACCCGAGTCACCGTGTTGAATGAGGCTGATATAAACGGGCCGCCCACCATGTGAGGGCTCTGGATGGGGGCGGGTTGGGTTGCTAGGCGGGGCACTAGGTGAGCACAGAGCATCGGGGAGAGAGTGAGTCCTCATGCAGGTAGGGACTGCAGGGACAGAGGCACTGCGAGTGGCTACAGCCTTGCAGTGAATGCAAGGCCTCACCAAAGTTGCCTGACGCTGTCGGTGGAAAGGCGCCCATACGGCCACGGAAGCTCAGCAGCGGAGTCCTCAGAACTAGAGCTAGAAGTTCCCTCTCCATGCCCCAGCTGTTCCCTTCCTGGGCATCTCTCCAGAGAGGACAGGGCCCCAGGCACACTCGTGTGTAGTGCACAGCTCCAGTCATGGCAGTGGCCTAGAGGTTGCTCAGCGGAGGGATGGATAAGGAGGGATGCACATATGGCGGGGCACTGCCCTGCCAGAAAGGAGGACGGACGAATGTGCCGTCTGTGGGAAAATGGATGCACCTTGAGGCATAACGTGGAGAGGAACAAATCAGACGCCCTGCCTTAAATAATGAGGGTTTCTCCTCCATGTCAAATCCAAGGTCTAAATGAATCAAAGAACAAAATACAAGATAAATGATAGGAAACAGGGAGCTAGATGTTTTGCAAACGGGAAGGGGACCGAGAGATGAAAGGAATGGAAGAAGGGAAAAGTTACACACATGTGCACACACACACACACACACACACACACCCAGGGCCACAAACTTCTACACACTAATAAAAGTTCCAAAGGGTCCCGCTGGGTGCCGGGAGCAGACGTGGGATGCCTCTGCCCTGCCTGCTCCATGTTCTAACACTGCTATAGAAAGCACATATCTATGGAGATGATTCTCAAGTGGCTGCCATGAAACGTGTTTCCACAATGAAGACTCAGCCACTGCTGTGGTGTGGAAGGGGTAGGAGGCTTCCTGGCCCCGGTTCCTGGCTGGCTCTAGGAGCCTGTGTCTCCCTTTGCCTCTGCTGCCCAGGGCTGGCTCTGGAGATAAAGGCTGAGCTGGCGCCCACAATGCTGAAGCTTCCTGGAGCTGAGCAGGAGCTCAGGGCACCCGCAGCCCCAGCCAGGACAGAGAAAAGGCCCCAGAGAGAAGCACAAACCCAAGCAGGGTACAGCAGCCCCACCCACTGCTTGGAGGGCGGCAAGCAACATGGTGAAAGATCACAGCCTGCCAGGGTGTGGAGAAGAGGGATCCTTGACACTGTTGGTAAATTTGGGGCATGGGGGACAGTGTGGAGGCAACTCACCATAGATCTACAGTGTCATCCACCTATCTTGCTCTCGGGTTTTTAACCAAAAGAAATGAACAGTATGTTCAAGACACATCTGCACCCAGGGTCACCGAGGCGGAATTCTCAATAGCCATGCTATGGGGTCCACTTCATCGATCAGGAAGATACAGTGCATGCACCCAATGGAACACTACTCAGCCTTAAAAAAGTGTGTACTTCTGTCACCTGAAGTATGCCAGGTGTGTACACACGCATCTTCTCAGGCACATGTGGGGTTTGACACAGTCAAGCAGAAAGCCAGAGGCTGAGGTGGGTGTGGGGAGAGGTGAGCCCCAGAGCACAGTCCTTTTAGTGCAGAGGGTGAGTCTGGGAGAGCTACCCTGTCTGAGCGGGGTGACTGGCTTGGGTACATCGGGAAGGGCTGGGAGAGGCTTTGTGTGATCTCACCACCCAAAAGAAAAGTAAAGGCAAGCACATGGGAGTGGCCACTGTGAGGTTGTGAGTTTGATTCCCCGTAAGAAAAGACAAGAACGATGGGGCAGTAGCCAGGGAGCACACAGGGTGTTTTGGGGTGCATGGTAATGTGTCTTTTCCTATAACCCATGCATGAGGTCTGAATGCCTGGTGCATTTTGGTCCCAACCCTGCAGGAGTGGGGATCGAGGGTCTCAGGCTCTGTCCAGCTCCCCTCATCCATGACACTGACCCGGGGCCCTCCCATCCCAGTCCCAGTAAGGACCCAGGCCGGCTACTCACAGCACTGCTTCTCGTCCTCCCCGTTGGGGCACTGCTCCACGCCGTCGCACCAGAGGGAGGCACTGATGCAGGGCCCCGAGCTGCTGCACTGCACCCCGGTCACCGAGCACCCTCTCCTCACTAGCAGGGGACAGGGGGGACCTCTCATCAGGAGGAGGAAGCCAGGGTGCTGGGGGAGGGTCTCCCCATCACCCACACTGGGGGCCCAGGAGCAGGAAGAGATGACTCCACCCCCACCATGTGGATAAGGAGAGGCTCGCATGGCCCCCACTACCCGGGACCTCCGGCGTCCATGCTGTGTCTCCCCACCTGCCCGGGCTCAGGTGCAGGGGTGCTGCAGTCAGCTGCTCATGGAGCTGAGATGCTGGCCCTCTGAGAACAGGTGACCAGGCACTGGGACAAGAGGGAGGGGGAGCCACGGGAGCAGAGCCCACAGCTCACAACACTCACGGAGGAGCTTCCACAGCAGGCCGCCAGTCAGCAGCAAGGCCACTAGGACAGCGCCCAGGACCAGGAGGAGTAACTGCAGCCGCCTCGTCTCTGCAGAAGCGAGAGCAGGACACGGGTCAGCCCTGCGGAGAGGACTCTTCCCAGAGCTCTCTCTCTGGCTTGTTCAGTTTTTCTGAGACAGGGTCTCACTGTGTAATCCAGGCTGGCCTTAAACTCGTGGCAATCCTCCTGCCTTAGCCTCCTGAGGGCTGGGATTCTAGGCATGTGCCACCACGCCCACTTCACCCACTGCTTTGATCTACAAGCCCCCTGACCCGGATGGACTGTAACATGGTCAGGACAAAGCACGAGTCCACCCAAACACATCGAAGCCCTGAGCGCCACACACCTGAGCTGCCCACCCACTGTGTGTATGCTGGAAGCCAGCTCAGCCCGCAGTGGCTTAAAGCACCTCACGAAAGCTGGCTTCCGGGCACAGTGCTGACTGTGACAGGGCTCCCCAACACCACTGTGAAGTAGGGTGCTGTGCACTAGACCCCATAAGCTGGGGGCTGTCTGCGAACCTCATTAAGCAATAAGACTCTGTATGCTTAACAGTGTGGGTATGAGGCTGGAGAGGGTGGCACACACCAGTGACCTGGCATTCGGGAGGCTAAGGCAGGAAGATCACAAGTTCAAACCCAGCCCAGGCAACTTACTGACTTAGCAAGTCACTGCCCATGGAGGCCCCCCTGGACAGACGGCCTCCCTGAGCAAAGAACGATGACCTGCTTCTTGGCTGACCTGGCCCTGTCTCCATGGCTGATATGCAGAGAGTTGGCTAGGACTGTCCTTTTATCCCTGCAGTGGCTTTAGCAATGCAAAGGGTCTGGCCAAAGTGTGCTGCGCTATTTGAAGCAGGGCCGCAGCGCTGCCCCACACTGTAGCTCCCACAAAACCCGCATGAGCTGGGCGGGAGGCAGTGAGAGGGAGCTCCTCGCTGTGGGCTGGGACGTAGCCTCAAGACACGAGGCTGTGACTTTTCAGGACATAAAGGGTCACAGGTGAGAGCCGAATCTCCGACCCGGAAGCATCAGATACTGCTCCACCTGCCTTAGGCAGATGGGTCAGCACCCGTCCTCCTCTCTGCCTAGTGCGGAGGTGACCTCGGGCCTCCCACCCACCCGGCTCACAACGCTCATGTCCTTCCCGCCACGCTCCCCTCGTGGAGAATCAATAAACCTGGGTTTGGTGATGGGCTGGGGCCTCTGTTCCGGTGAACCATCAACCTAGCTGGACTGGGGCCCCTTGGTTCCCCACCATGTTAGATACATATCTGTGCTTCTGTTTATGCCGTGGGTTGCTCTGGAAGTGGAAGTTTGGAATTAACTCACTTGAATTCCAATAACTTTCCTTGGGATTACAAATACAAACTTCCCAGACTGTGAGAGCCCCGGAAGGCTCTCTCTGCCTGCCTCAAAACAGAAACAAACTTTTAACCAAGGGCTGAGGAAGGCAGCTCAGTGCAAAGGCCCACTTTGCATCCACAATATTACAAAACAATAGGTAATTTGAATTTTAAGAATATTGCTTGGGAGGGCTCCCTCCTTCTGTGACACAAAACTTACAGGTTTTGCAAAACAGAAGCCACCCTCCCTGACTGGAAAAAGCTAAGCTTTTAAACGGTGCCTGGGTCTCTACAGAAGCTCTTAACCCAGGCAATGATCTGGGCAAAAAAATGGCTGAGGAGCAAACTTACCTGGTTTTGATAATTACGAGCAAAAGCAATATCATAAGACCGATGTCTCCACGGTGGTCACGGTGCCAGGGCACCCCGGGCAGCAGAAACTGCCTCTGTCAGCGCTGTGGAGGAAGAGAGGACTCACACCACACCTGGCCCTGGCAGCTACTTATTTCATTAATCATGGGTAAGTAAAGTTGACAACAGGATGTAAATTGCAGTTTGCAGGGGGCAGCGGCCACCACGTTGGGCAGGGCGCTATGGAGTAAGCCCATCACCCCTGGGAGTCTCAGTGAATGGCACATGCTAAAGCCCTGTGGCCTCAAGGCAATAACACTGAGCTCAGAGCTAAGAATAAATCAATCTGGCAGAGAATTAAACAGTTTGATTATGAATAAGATAATTTGGGAGAGATTTTCTCCACCAAAACACGGTGCTTTGGCCAAGGGTGTGATCCCAAACTGTCAAGGTCCCATGGACAGAGGGGACAGTGCCAGGAACCCTGGGGGAGTCTGGGGTCAGAAGGCAGCTGCCCAGGGAGGAGATACCCAGCCTGGCTCCCCCAGGGAATCCGGCCTCCGGTGTCCCAGGTTATCCCAGGAAGAAGGGACAGAGGCAGAGGAGAGGGCAGGAGAAGGGGGAGACGGACCCTCCCAGGCCGGCCAGGTGCTGTGTCGGCCTGGGATTTGAACATCAGCTTCTGGAGTTAGTGGGGCCAGGAGCTGGGCAGAGCACAGCTGCCCAGCTGCTTGGAGCTCAAAGCCACACCTGGCACTGCTGCCACATCCTGCCATGACCCTGGAGCTCCACCTGGCTTCAGCGTTTCCCCCATTAACTGGACCCCGCCCCCAGGAAGTCTGGCAAGCTGGGGAGCTGGGCTCAGATCCCCATTGCCTGCAGATCCCAGCCCTGAAGAGAAGGGGAAACTTCCCTGCTGACATAGGCATGGTTATGTTAGCATTAAGCTCACATTAAGGAGGGTCGGCAGCCTGTCCTCTGTCCACTGGGAGCCCCAGTGTTACCCCGGAAGGGAGGTCGTCGTGGTGAATACAGCCTCTGCTCAGCCCTGGTCCGCAAAGCCTGCAGTGGGGATATAGGAAGAGAACGGGTAGGGTCGGCACTGGGACATGGGTCTCCCAAAAAGGAAGAGGAGAAAACTTCCGCAGGGTCCAGGACCCAGAGCCCTGGGCTGTGCTTCTCCTACCCTGCTTCCTCCTCCTGCAGGTGGCCACGCCCACCAAGTTTCCTTATTAGCCCACAAAACCCAAGCCCCTAGCAACAAGCTGACCACCCAATCAGGTGCCAGTGCCCTTGGAGGGAGGGGTCCCTGGGTCCTGACCCCCAGAAACAGGGCCACTGCCCCCTATTCAGGGGTCACCCAGCTCTGGGCACCCTCTGGCTGGAGTGGCTTTGTACCATCTCCTTCTACAAACAAACTGGCTTGGCTCCGTCTCCTGACTTCTGTCCTCACTCTCCATCATGGTCTATCCCGCTGGCCATGTCTAGCACAGCAGAAATCTCCAGCTGGACCGTCGGGTCACAGGGGACCCTGTCCTGGGGGCAGTCCATGCTTGTGTGACTAATTGGCAGTACAGAAAGCTGATGCTCAGAGAACGGGTGGGAGCGAGGTTCACACAGAGCTGTGTGGCAGTCTGTCTGGGGACCCTGTCAGACAGAAGTCCAGCTTGCTAGTGCCCAGGCACCCAGGTCAGGGCATTTTACCGACAAGCCTCTGGCCAGAGGATGTTTGGCACTGGAACCCCAGAAGTCCGGGTGGACCAGGAGAGCTGGGAAGTGGGACTTCTCCAACCTCCTGTCCTGCCTGTTCAAAGTCCACCCTGGCAGAATCTAACACGGCTCCTGCTCGGAGCAAAAGCAGCTAGAGATCGCAGAGACAAGCACCCCGGCCAGGATGGAAATAGACACGAGAGGAACTTACTTGGGGTGCAAGTCCCCGAGGACTTGGGCCGCCTGTGGAGGAGGGGTGTCAGGGCGTGTGTGGGAACCCTCGGGGTAGACTGGGGTACAGCTGGCAGGTAGTACTGAGGCACATACACTGGATGGACATTGGGCACCGTGGGTGGCTGTGTGGGGTACAGGTGTTCTGGCTGGTACCCATGGTTTTCACAGCAAGGCTGGTTTTCCCATCTCTTCTGGGCACTGTCACGAAAGTGCCCAGAGCAGGGTATGCCCAGTGCCTGGCCTCACCCCTACTCTGCTGGCCTGGGAAGACAAGGCAAGGCAAGGTGTGGGCCAGGAGGGAACCTGGGGTCAAGTGGACAGTGGGGCTGTGTCTGCAGGGTCACCAGTGCTCGGTTAACAGCTCCGCCAATCGACATGGCAGCACTTCCTTGGAGCTGCAGGCCACAAAGGCCCCCGTGTGCTCTGGAGCCTGAGCCACTACAGGTGACAGATGGCAGGGCGTGACACAGCCACAGCCAAGGGGTCCTCCATAAAAGGGGACACAGTCAAGGCATTTTCTGTGTCCTGCCCAGGTCTCTGAGGCACCAACAAGGGGAGAGGAGCCCCAGGGGCCCTCCGTGTGGTGACAGAACCACATGGTCCTGCAACAGCTTGACAGGGACAGCAGAGGGTGTGACAGTCCCAGGACCCCATCAATGGGACGGTCCCGGTGAGTTCTACGGCCCTGGGCATTTCCTGTCTCCAGAATGACCGTGGCATCCAGCTTTCCCCGAACCTGATCCTGTTTGTCACAGGAGGAGGAGGTGGGTAAAGAGTGGCACACTTCTAAATGTCCACGGAGTCCCTGGGCCATCACCACCAGCTAGTAGGCCCCACGGGAGGTGACGCTTGCTGTGGAGAGACCTAGGGTGGCTCCTAGCCTGCCTGGTACCTGCCTGGGACTTCAGGTTGCCTGGCACTAGCTGTGGGGCCTCCCTGGGTTCCTTGGCTTCCCCTGCTTCCCCTCTCCAGACAGGAGGGGGCGCCAGTGTGCAGCAGGCCAGGGCTCCTAAGCCCAGGAGCTGACCTAACTTTCCCAGGAGTTCCAGGCCATGCCCCAGGCACAGCACACCTCACCTGTGAGGGTTGCATTTTTAACACAGGGAGCTGGTGAAAAATTGGTGACATTTTCTGCAGTGTGTCAGGTCTTTTGGCTCTGGTTGTTTTGGTGATGTGTCTATTTTCTGTTGCTTTCCCCATGGAGAGGTGCATACACAGTTAGATCTGTTCGAATTCTGCTAGAGATATTTTGCTCTGCTTTGGTTGTCTTTTTGGCAAAAATAATGGATTTGAGTTCATAAAAAGGCCTTCCCAGATCCAGGTTTTGGGAGAAATGTCCAAGCTTTTTCTAAGGAGCTGTAGTTTCATGTTTAGTATGGGGATCTGCAGTCCACCGGAAGGGAGGGTGGTCAGGGCCATCCCACTGTCAGGTGGGTCCCCGTGTGTCAGGAGCGTGCGAGCATCAGCTCACCTTTTATGGGGTTCAGACCACACCTTGGCAGTCTTCACTGTGGGGGCTTCCCTCCCTTGGATCTCCCCTCCCTTCTTTCTCCTTCTGTCTTCTTTTCTCTCTCTTTTTTCCGTGGCATTGGGGGTTGAGACGAGGACCTTTCCCAATAAGGAACCTCCCGGCCTGTAAATATTTGTATTTTTAAATTTATATTTTATTTTTTGGTTTTTCTGAGGCAGGCTCTCACTGAACGGTCAGGCTGCTCAGTCTGGACTTGAACTTGGGTGTCCTCTTGCCTCAGCCCACGAGCATGCAGGGATACTGGTATGTACTCCTGCACCTGGCTCCTTCCACACTTGTGTTTCTCCCATTAGGGCTGTGTGATCAGTACCGCAGTGTTTCAGGCCCGGAAAATTCATACCCACGTGGTTACCTCATCCACATGGCTGTTTTTTCAAAGTTTTCACAATGGCAGTATTGTTTTTTATGCAGGTATTACAGACCTCCCTGCAAAAAGGCATTGGAATTTTTATTGAGGTCACATACACTTTAACTTAGGGAGACACAATGACAGTTTTCTGATTTGGAATTATCCTAAGGGGCAGAAGCATATCCTTTTGCTGTTGTTTTTGTTTGCTTGTTTTTTGTTTTGCTTTTTGAGTCGAGGTCTTGCTCTGCAATTCAGTCTGGCTTTGAGCTCACTGTGCAGCCCTGGCTGGTCACAAATGCAACGACCCTCCACCCTCAGCCTCCCAAATGCTGGGATCACAAGCCTTCAGCACAGCGCCCATTTACTTTGATCCTTAATGGCAGTCAAAAGCTGTCTGCACCTTGGTGGTTGTGGCTTGTGTCTAGAAGTCCCCTCAAGCCTCAGGCAGCCAGAGAAGGGGCTTTTTCAGAGGTGGCTAGATCCAGAGTGCGCAGCACTGGCTCTGCATAGGGTGTTGTCTGCTCTAAAACCCTGGCAGAATTTCTCTGAGAAACCCAGGTCCTCGTGTGCTCAGGCGGCAGTGCCTTGACGACTTTCCCTGTTTCCCTTCTTTTAGGGGAGAGGGTACAGGGATGGAACTGACAGCTCCCACTTGCCAGGCAGGCCCTGTGCTGCTGAGCTGAGTCCCTGGGCCCTCCCTGTGCTCCCTATGGAAATGAGTCGTTTAGATTTTCTCTGCCTACTGAATCAGCTGGAAGAGTTGTATTTTTTCATGAAATTGCCCATCTTAATCCGAGTTCTGCAACTATGTTTAAAAGACAAGTAGAGCACCTCTGTGAGTTTCCCCATTTCTCCGGTTTCCATACTTACTTTCCTTCTGTTCCTGGGCTGCCTGTTTATTTTCTCCAGTCGTTTGCACAGAGCAGCTCTGAGCGAGTGCCACAGCACCCTGACTCAGCTGTGCTGTCCCCTCAGCCTGCAGGAGCTCCCTCTTACAGGGAGGGTTCAGATCAGCCCCCTGGTGGAAGAGGTGCAGCTGAAAAGCAGTGAATGCTTAAACATTTAAAAATGTGTAATGCAAAAAACCAATCACCATGAATCCCCTCACAATACCTTACACGCCCCTCCCACCATACCTGCTGCTTCCCGCAGCAGCTCGGGGTCCTTTCTCCTGGGGGACTGTGCTGTCCTGGCCCCCTCCATGTCCTGCATGGATTCAAACCCTCTCTCTTTCCTGGTCATTGTGAACCTGGGGAGGAGCAGAAGTCACAGCGTGCCAGATCCGGTGACTAAGGCCCAATGAGGACACAGTCCTGTTTTGGGAGCTGCCTTTGGGCTGGATGGTGCTCTGCACAGCAGTCACTGGGTTTTTTAATCACCCTAAAGAGACACCCAGCAAAGAGGATTCCAGGGCTGCTGGAAAGAGAGGGATGGGGTGAGTTCAAAGCAAGGTGGGGTGGGGGTACCATGAGCAGGTCACTGGTGACAACACTTAGCAGATTAAACAGGTGGAATACCACCGTGGGATTTGGGCACACTTCATCTGTGGATATGTGACACATGCCCCTGGCTATGTTAGAGTCATCTGCTTGTTTCAGCTGTAAGGTTAATGGTTTCTTCTCAGTGTGGTAGCCAGTTTCTCAGAATGGTGCTGAGATGGGACCTGGGGCCTCTGCACTGAGGTGCCACCTGCCAGCCCTAACTTTATATTTCACAGTGAGACAAGGACTCCAGGGTGGCTAAACTAACCAGGCTGGGCTTGAAATAAGGATCCTCCTGCCTCGGCCTCCCACAGTGCTGGGATCCCAGGCTTGTGCCATCAGCCAGGCCTTTCTGGCAGTTGTTTTTAATGAGAGTGGACAACCGAATGCCAGAGGATCCCAGAAGAAGCCAGGACTCCTCCACCAGAGGGGGCCAAAGCCAAGACCAGGATGTGGGAGAGGGGGCGGTGGAAGGGCGTGGCCAGAGGCAGGGCAGAGCTGAGGCATGAGGCAGGACCTGCTTGGAGGGGTGCAGGGACCCCAGAGCTGCAGATGCAAAGGTGGTAAGCGTAGTGGCATGAGGGTGCTGGGAGAGGGCGTCGGAGTGGCATGGGGGCCAGGGGTGGGGGTACGTAGAGGGTGATTTGGAGAGGCGCCAACCAGCGGTACACCGGGGAGGGCCCCAGAAGGGGCTCAGGTCACAGTTAGGTTAGCGATGTTCCTGCCATGGCCAGGCCAGTCTGGGACCCAGAGTCACACCCGGGAAGGGTTCCTGGGTGCCCGTTATGGCATGAGGGGTGCGGGGCGCGCCTGAGGATTACGTGTTCTCGTCTTCCGCCTGGTTTCCTAGTGAGGCTCCTGACACAGCGCCGCAGCCCTGCCCCTTTCTGCCCGGGTTACTTCAGAGCCAGCCTCAGTGGCAGCGCTGAGTAAGGACCGTGCCCTTGGGGGTGCTCGCTACACCACAGCCTTCTAGAACCTTCCCTATGTCTCTTCCTGCATAGCACAGGGCCCGATGGGGTGAGGGCCCAGCCTCCCCTGTAGCCCTGCAAGTCAGGCTCAGAGACACCCATAGCTCAGCAGCACTGCCCAGCTGTCTTGAGGGTGAGGCAGGAGGGGCCCTGTGAGATGACAATCAGAGCAGCCACTCTGGCTCAGCTCTGGCAGCCTCGTGCTCTCCTCTCCCTAATCTCATGGGGTGCGGCCCACAGAAGAGGCTCTGGAGAGTGAAGGCAGCATTGGAGAAGGGGGACCTGGGCCTGGGCCGGTCTTGCTTTTCATGCGGGGCACGTTCCAGTTGGGGTGAAGGCATGGGTTCCAGGGGATGGTGAGGCCAAGAGAAGGGGAAGAGTGGGGACCCACGAATACCACCTTTCCTTGCCCAGGGAGGACTTGGGACCTCAAGATTGGATTCTATTGCAGAGACTTGGGGTCATGTCCCGGGGCTGCAGAAGCATGGCCGGGATGTTACAGACCAGGGTCCAGTCCAGTGGCCGGGTGCTGTGAAGGCTCCTGTGTGTGTTGTGGCTGCCTGGTGACCATGCTGCCCCGGGCTCCTGGCAGGGGACCTCATCACGTACCAGGACTGCCAGCATTGCAGCTGGATGCCTTCTTCCCATAGACTGTTACCTCCGAAAGCCCCCCACCTCAGTCCTGCTGGAATTCAGCCTGCTGATCCTGCCCCCATCTCTGACCCAGTGTGACAGGGCACCTCGAAGTCATCTGAGAAGCATTTGAGGCACAGGCCGCCGAGCTGTTCTGAAGCTGGGATGCTTCCCCCACCCGCTCTGGGGCAGATATCTGCAGCCCAGGCAGAGCAGGCCCTTGGTCTCTGCCAGTCACCCTACTCCACCCACAGCCTCCAGGTTGGTGAGGGGTTTTCTGCAGTGATATGTGGGCACCATCAGAAGGCCTGTCGAGAGGCTGTCAGGGCCATCTTGGCACACAGCAAGGAGCATGTCTGGAAGCTTGGAACCAGGCCCTGGTGCAAGCCCAGCTGTGTTCACCCCCCCACCCCGGCCATGCGGCTCAGAAACCGGATGTTAGTGCTCCCTGGAGCTGAAAAAAGGAGGCCATGAGGCAGCTGTCTGTCGTCCTGTTGGAAGGGGGAAAGGGTCAATCAGTACATGGGTTCTGGGGCTCTTACCAGGCCCCTGGTATCCTAAAGACCTGGACAGGATGCACAGGAAAGGCAGCGAGGGTGCACCGTTACTGAAGGCAGAAAAGAAGTGTGCTCAGCAAGGCAGCACAGGCTGGTGAGGAGCTGACAGTAGGGCCATGGGGTCTTCTGTACCCAAACCATAGGGTCACCTCTCTGTCATGCAAATAACGAATTGGATGGTTACCATATGAAATGCTCACTTGGGGTCACCCCCTGTGGAAACTTTCCTGTCAAGTGCTGGACTGGCTCCCTGTCATAGGTAGATAAAGAATACAGGAAGTGTCTCTGGATTGGTTGCGCCCGAATGCAAATGAGAATGATCGAGAACATATGATTGGCCCTGCTTAGAACACCAGCTATAAATGAAGAGTGGAATATAGAAAGTTTCTGATTGGTCCAGAATGGCACCTTTGTGACTGGGTCTGTATAGTCATAGTGGGCTGGGAGTGTCCCTCCCTCTGCAGCCCTGTCCTTGGTGGACTGGCTTCTACTGTCAGCACAGCCCAGGCAGCTTCTGTTGTTCGAGTTCTATCTCAGGGATTCTAGACTAACTGTGGGTCCTGCCAGCAGGGGTCCCAAGCTAGGGGCTTCTCCTCCGTCCACCTCAGTGCTGCATGGAATCTGCTGTGGGTTCTGGCTGAGGACACAGGGCTGGAAGATCTCACTGCCTCAGCCTCCCCCTCTGCCCTGTGGTCTAAAGTCTTTCTGTCTCCATTCTGGACTCTTGATGGCCCCCAGCCCCAGTGGTGTCTGCCTGTGGCACCACACGAGCCTGTCCTGATGGGCTTGGGATCCCCGAATGCACTCAAGCCCTTGTGTTGCATGGGACCTGTGCACGGCTGCACCGAGCCACCTGCCGCTGGCCCCTGGTCGAGCATCCCCCGGGACCTGACATTGGCCGGATGTGCCTGGCTGCCATCTGCCTTGTTCATGGTGTGTGCTTTGGTCCAGTCGGCACCCACTACACACTTAGCACACGGAATGGCTTGGGCAAAGATCTGTGTCTTCTTGGAGCTGCTGTGTTCTGGTTTCTGGCTCTGAAAGCTCCTGTCAGCCCTCAGAGTCCAAAGGTCCCTGCAGAGTCAGCCCTGCCAGCCAGCTGTCCAGGTATCTGCAGTGCTTTATGCAACCTTATAGTTATGACTGGGCGAGGCTCTGAATGAAGTCACCTCCACTCAGCAGAGGCACTGGATACCTGACAGCTGTGAGGGAGGGAGGGCGAGCTGCTCTTTACCTGAGTCTGACACAAAGCGGCACAGGTTGGAGGTTGTGTGCCTTAGTGTGTTCCGTGCATCCCCCCTCCCATCTTCCAAGAAAGAGAACTCCCAGTTCATGCATTTAAAACTGAAAAGTGGAATCCAAAAGTATTAACTGTATTGTTTCACATTAGGTGTGGTAGTGCACGCCTGTGAACTCAGCACTGTGAGAGGCTGAGGCAGGAGGACCCCAGGTTGCAGTCCAGCCTGTGCCCCTTAGCAACGTAGCCAGATCCTATCTCAGAGCAATCACAGGACTGGGCCGTACAGGTCCTCTGGGGGACCTGGGTTCCCTGTCCCTCTCCTCAGACGCTCTGGGTGTTCGAGCTTCAGGTTTGGAGAGGGTCTGTCCTCCTGCAGATCTGTAGTGGAAAAGCTGCTCAGGTGACCTGGGCTATTTTTCCCCAAAGCATGACCTAACCACACACGGTCAGGTGAGTGATTGCCTAGAATCAGTTCCTAGGCCCCCCCAGAGACTGCCCAGAATGGTATAGACTTGGCCTGCTAGCAAAACAAACACAAATTATTTCTGGAGAAGTTGCTTCTTGTTTCCAACACAGTGCTCAGTACAAGCCATAGACCAACCAGGAAACCCTTGGGCTGGGGCCAGAAAAAGCTTCAGAGCCTTCGGTTGTCCTTGGAGCAGTAGGACCCAGGCTGGTGGCTCGCTGGGGATGATGAGGGAAATTTGAGCCAGCCGAGGGAGGACTTCCTGCAGGAACCAGAAAACTTCCCAAGGAGCAGGGGTTTCTGGCTTTGTTTTGTCTGTTGTTTTGAGAAAGGGTAACCCTGTTCAGGCTGGCCTTGAACTTGCAGTGATACTCCTGCCCCTGGCTGTTGAGTGCTGGGATTCCAGATATGTACCATCAGTGCTTCCCAAGCACGTTCCTAACAGAGCGACCTGATTGTAAGATAGAGAAGCTCCAGGGCACAGCACAGAGAAACAGGTGCAACAGAAGCAAAGAAAGAGCAGGAGATTCTGAGACCGTGGGTATCGGGCAGCTTTGCCATCATGGGGGTGCAGCGCCAGCACCCATGATTTCTGGGCGAAAGGGTAATGTGCCTCACAGTTTCAGGGAACTTGGTCCATGGCTGCTGGCTCCAAGACAGGATCCTCAGGGTGGCAGAGTGGTTGGGCCGAGGTGCTGTGTTCCCTATGTGGTGCAGGGGGAACCTCAGGGGACCCCGCCTAAGAGGGGCTCCAGACATACCCATCAATGTCCTTGGCTGATCCCTGGGCATTGTTTAAATCCATCAAATTGATACAGTGCAGGTGAACCACCCGCAAACAAAGCTGGCCACCTCCCGAGGGACAGGAAAATAAAAGGTGATGTCCAGGAACCCCTGGACATTGGAGGGCAGTGCAGTTAAGAAGCTGAATCTTATTCTTTTTCAAAAGGCAACAGCTGTTTATGAGGCAGGGGGTTCTGAGGTGACTGGGCATGGTGGAAGCTTCCATTGTGACAACAGAGGACCTTGGGGCTGTCCTAGGGTTCAAACAATGGAATACTCTGGGAAGAATACCCTTGGGGCCACAGGGTCCTGCTGGAATCCTTGGTCTCTGTCTGAGGGACTTCATGACACTCAAGATTTCATGTCACCATTCTGAGGCCATTCCAGTGTCTTCCCTGCTGTGTGGATCAGAAAAGGATTGCTGAGTCCAGCTCCTGAAGCCCAGGGATCAGGCCGTTCTCAGGCTGTCAGCATGGTGGACAGTGGTGCCGCGTCTCGGGCTCTGGTCAGTGTGTTCACACATGGCGATCACGTACCCTGTAACACAGTGATCCACCTAGGGCCGTGCTGGGCCCACCCAAGTCCACGCCTTCTCCACGCAGGCTTTCCTCGTTGCAGGTGCACTTGCAGCTGCCTGCCTTCCTTGGGGGCTGCTGTGCTGGGACGAGGGTCCCGTGGTCAGAAGAGCGTGTGGTTTGCTCTCTGCGGCACGATTGTCTCGGACTGAATCAGGCCCTGATCCCCATGTTTGCGTGCCAGGGAACTCACCTCCCGGGGCGTGGGGGAGCACAAACCTGAAAGGACTCGCTCAGCATGGAGGAGGAATGACTGTGCAGAGTACACCAAGAACGTGTGCCGCTCAACAACAAAAATCATTCAAACACAGGCAATGGACTGGGCTGGGTGTCCCCCCAAGATTCCCCAAACGAAAGGCCGGCAAGATCAGAAAGATGTGATCAACGTCTTTCATCACCAGGTGTGCTAATCAGAACCCTGAAGAAGGATCACCTCACCTCCACAGGGAAGGCTATGTCTGAGGCCCCAGGCACACAGCATGTGTTGACAAGGAAGTGGAGGAAGTGGCCCTGGGGTGTGGCTGGCGGGTCCAGGAGGCAGCTAAGACCAAGGCTGCCTTGTGACCTGGGAGCCCCATTTGCCAGTGTGTGTCCCACAAGATTGAAGCAAGATGTCCCAGAGATGGTTCCCCAGCTTTCTCTGTGGCAGCGTTATCTGCTGCAGCCAGTAAGTAGAAGCTGCCCGTATGGCCATGGATGGACAGATGGACAGACGGATGGAAGTGGTGTGAGCATTCAGCAGGGCTTGTTCTTACCGTGAGGGCGCTTAGCTGTGGGAACAAAGCAGCGCCATGAGGCAGAGACCCTAGGAGTCGTAATGTGTCAGGCGGGCTGAGAACCCGGTTTCCAAAGGCAGGAGGCCTGGGTGGCTACCAGGCAGGGGCCGAAGGGCGGACAGCGAGTTAATGTGTAACAGGTGCTAGGCTCTCTTACAAGAGGACACCACCTGGAGGTCAATAAAGGGAATTCAGGGATCAGGTTCGCTGTGTACTGTGCGTTTTAATACCAAAACTGTTTAAAGATACAAACAAACCCAGAGGCAGAAACCCTCTTCTGATACTAGATGAGCTAATGACACAGGTAAAATTCTTGGTGTAGAAAATCAGGACTCAGTTTCCCAATTTTAGCCACAGGGAGGCAGGGCTGGAGAAGGGTTCACAGGATGCCAGAGGGCGGCTCAGCTGTAGGGACACAGAGAGAGGCCAGGCCAGGCCTGGTATGGTATAGTTCTGAGTCCCTACCTGACTATCCTGCCTTCTGGCCTCTGGAGTTTTGGAGGACATGAGCCGTGTGAACCAGAGGACGGCAGCTGCATTGGCCACAGGAAACAGGACTCCCCACAGGACATCTCAGCAAGGACAGGGCTGTGGAGGGAAGGTCACAGCCACCGTAAAATCTGTCCCCAGCAAGCCCAGGGTACAGGGCGTCATGGGCAATCCTTGGGCTCCTGGAGAGAGAGGACCTGGCAGAGCCTGTACAGAGAGAGCCTGCTGGCGGGATCTTGCTAGACAGTGGGGACCTCACTTGGCAGCGGGGACCTCACTAGGCAGCAGGACAGCTTCTCCTGGAGCCCAGACTTCCTCTTGTGGCTTGAAGTGGCCCTGACTACCGCAGCTTAGAGCGCAATAAAACCCTAGGCGTGTTTGTACCGAAACTGTGCTCCCAGATGGCCAGCGCTGGCTGTCCTGCTGGGGTCCTGATGTCGGATGATCTCTGGGTCTGGGACCTTCTCCAGGACCCTGCCCTCAGACAGAAGCGTCCAGCTTCCCTTCAGCAAAGGAGGAGCAGGGAGCCCCGTGTGGCTGGCTGTGTCCACAGCAGGTGGACTCCGAGCTGCCCTAGATGGATCAAAGTGCCTAGGAGGGTTGGCCCAGGCACAGGACTCTGAGGTGGGGAAGGAGGTCAAAGACTCTGCCAAGCTTCCTTTCCCAGCTGTTCCCTGGTGGGAGACATTGGTTGGCAACGCAGGTGCTCCTGGCGTCAAGGCACCTGGCAGTCTTTTTCTCAGCTGGTCTTCTCAGGGCATCTTCAGCCCTGGAACAGGTAGGTCAGTCTGAGGGAAAAGGGCCTGCTTGGTGCATGACCTGAGCTACAGGACAAGCCCGGTGGCCCTGCCCAAACCTGCCTGGCTGCTTGCCCTGCAGCCTGGCTGGTCCCCACCTGGCAGTTCCCTGTAAGTGGCCCGCCCTTTGCCTGCAGACTGACTGGGGGAGAGTGAGGGCAGGTTCCCTCCCTTGTCTCCTCCATATGCCTCAGCTAGGCTGAGGTTCCTTCAGGTGCCTGCGGGGTGGTGGGGAGCAGTGCCTGGAAGACTCGCCTCAGGGCTGCAGGTGAGTGGGTCCCCCCCCCCAGTGGTGGGGGAGGGGTCTGGCCAGAACCTGCCAGGCAATTCAGATAGGGAAGTTCAGCAGGGCCACCTCCTGTTAGACTGGGCCTGAAAATGGGGGTTCAGGCCAGAAGGGGGCTGGGTGGTTCTTCCTGTTTGCCCCCTGCTCCTTCTGGGTACTTGGGGGAGTGGGTGTGATAGCTGGTTTGGAGCACAGGGTTGGGTTAGGGCGGGCCAGGGGCCTCCAGCAAGCCCCTTTCCCGGCAGATGTCCTGGGCCTCTGCCAGACAGGGCTGCTCCAGGTGGGGCTTGTCTGGGAACCTGGGACAAATGAAGAAGACAGTGCCTCATGCTTTTTTAGGGATGGGGAGTTTGGAAGGTAGCTGGGGACAGTGGTCAGAGCAGTCAGGAAGGTCCTGACCATCTGTTTCTCTGCTGACCTTCCCTTGCCTGTCTTTCCAAGTGACTGGAGGCAGCAAGGAGCAGAGGAAAGCCTGAGGGCCCGCCCCCACCCATGCACAGAGCCTGCCTTATCCTTTCCTGTCCCCTGTGTGGGAGTCACCTGGTGCCTGCCTTGGTCACACATGTCATTTGTGCTGGGATTGCCATGCCTGATGCAGCCCCAGGACTTTGGCACCAGGCTCTGTCCTGCACTAACACAGAGCAGTGATTTTTGCCTGGGCCTGGGTCACTCACACTCCAGGAGGCTTGGCTGGATGCATAAGAGCCGCCTCCTACCTCTCCCCCGCTGTGTAAAACCCTCCCCTCCTTATCTGTAGTGCATGCACTTATGGTCTCTACTGATGTCTGTCTGGTGCCTCTGTGCTCTGTCTCCAGACACCCTGAAGGCCTCGCTCTTGGTCCTTGCTTCCCTCTGTGCCTGGTACTTCGGGTACCTGGTGACAGAGCTCATTCCCGACTTGCATGTCCAGCGCCGTCCACATGGTGCGGAGCATCGGGAAGAAGCCTGTCCTCAAAGGTGAGAGTGGGATGTGACCCCAAATCTGCAGCCTGCCTGCCTCATGATCTCTGGAGGCCCCGAGTCAAAACTAGGCCAGTCCAGGTCCCCCATTCTGGAGACACATTGTTTTGTAAAGCAGGGGGACAGGAGCTGGGGTGCACAGCTGTAATTCTAGCGCTGGGGGACTGAGGCAGGAGCAGCAGCACAAGCTGAAGGCCAGCCTGGACTCCGTAGTGAGACCCTGTCTCAAAAGTAAAATCTAAAGGAATGAATATCTTGAAAGGCATCTGCGAAGCTGCTGTTACTCGGAAAGGACTTGGAAGAAATATCAGGCACCTCGAAGGAGTTTCCGATAAATACCCCAAAGGGCATCTCAGTCTGCCGCCAAAGACAGATGAAACTGCCTGTCGGTGGCCCCTCTGTCACCTGGTGGCCCCTGTGTCAGCTGGCATGTGAGCCCTGGCTTCTCTTGTACTGCCTCACAGGGCACAGGCATCCCTGTTGGCGGGGGGCAGCTCTCACATCCCTCAGAGCAGACAGTAGACACTGTTGCAGTGCCGGAGGGGGTTGGTGTCCAGGAGGTGATGCTCTCTGGCCTGTTTCCCAGGGCAGTGTCCCAGTCCCTGCAGTGGGCATGACAATGCCATGGCCAGGTCAGCTGGCCTGCATCACAGTTCCAGAGGCTAAGATCAAGATCCTGGCAGAGGGGTTCCGTCACAGTTCCCGTCTTGGACCCTCTCTAAGGGTCACGGTAGTCTTTATTCTCTGGTAGCAAAGTTATTTTATCACACCCATTCCCAGAAGGCCGTGTTACCGCAGTAGGAAACACCCGTCCCTGAAGCCCACTGATTTATTAATTTCTCAGGTGTTGACCCATGCCCTGCGCCGGCCCATGTGGTCCAGGTCTGACCTTCACATCCGAGGGGATCAGGCTGGAGCTCAGGGGTCAAGTAGGAAACGCAACAGAGAAACTGCATGAGCCAGATGCACTGTGGGAGACTGCTGGTTTGAATTTCACCTGAGTGGGGCACAAGTGTGATCGTAGAAGTAGACCAGAAGCCTTCAGGGCACCAGGGAAGCCGTCAGCTGAACCCCTGCTAAAAATTGGAAGTTGCTGCCTGTAGATTTTTAATGGAGCATAAAAAATTAAATCATGCAAAGTTGAACAGCTGTGAAATGCTTAGAAAACTCTTATGAAGCTGCTTGTTTTATGGAGGAAAAGGAGCATTATAGGAGCTACTGTGCCTGAAGCTGCTTGTTTTGTTTATGGGGTTTTTTTTGGAGCCAGGATCTCACTATGCACCTCTGGCCAGCTGGCCTTGAGCTCTCTGTGTAGCCCAGACTGGCCCTGAAGTTGTGGCCATCCTCCTGCGTCAGCCTCCTGAGAGGGGGCTGCTGTGTGTATTCTTTATTAAGGTCCTGGTGCCAGCACTGCCTGCACTCGTGCCTCCGGCCTAAGGAGGAGCCAGTGCCATGGGTCAGGGCGGGAGGCATGCTCCAGGGGGCTGACTGTCTTGTGCTGGGCCTGATTTTGGGGCAGGGCAGTGGTGTCCCATGATGCTACAATGCAGGCGTGGTGACCGGCATGGATCTTGGTGGCCCCTTCCTGGCTCGCTGGCTGTGTCTGGGCTCCTTCTGGCTCAGGGCCTGTGTTTGGAGGGGAACCGTTGTAGTGGGGGTGGGGAGTCCAGTTGGGGGTCAGCTTAGATGAGATCTGAGAGCAGGACCCGCCTCCCCAGGTCACCAAGTCCTGTCCATGGTCCTCACCCTCGACCCCAGCTCCTAGGAGGTCACAGGTCCAGACGGCTATTGTCCGAGACTCTAGAGCCAGGAGCCGGAGCCCAGCTTCCCTCCCCGAGCTGCTCCACTTGGGCCTTGGTCTCAGTGACGAAGCCCCTCATGCAGCACCTCTGTCCCCCACGCTGGCCTTCACCATGTTCGGAGGCCCCTATGAAGTCAGTGCCCCTGAGAGACAGAATGGACACGGGGCTGGACACTGCTCTTGGTCCCGTGGGTATGGAGGCCATTTGAACATGCAGACAACACTTAGCAGATTAAACAGGTGGAATACCCACCGTGGGATTTGGGCACACTTCATCTGTGGATATGTGACACATGCCCCTGGCTATGTTAGAGGCATCTGCATGTTTCAGTTGTAACACTCATGGTTTCTTCTCAGTGTGGTAGCCAGTTTCTCAGAATGGTGCTGGGATGGGACCTGGGGCCTCTGCACTGAGGTGCCACCTGCAAGCCCTCCTTTGTATTTCACAGTGAGACTGTTGTACTCCACTCAAAACACAAGGCCCCATGATGAAAAACAGGGCAAGACCCCCAGGATGACAAATGGGGCAAGACGTCTTTTTTTTTTTTTTTTTTTTTTAAGAGGAAAAAGAGAAAAACACAAAACAAACCAAAGCGGCGTAAGGGTACACGCAATACAGAACTACAAAACAAAACAAAACAAAACAAAACAAAACAAAACAAAACAAAAAACATAACAGTAAGAAATCACCTGCTAGTAGATTACACACTATCTTCTTGAAAATAGTTCCTCAAATCACAGTATCAAAGAACACAAGGTGGACATTCAAACAGGGAGACTGCAAACAGCTGTGTTCAATGTTCCAAAAACATTGATAAAGTCAGCTATTTAACACCCCCAAACACACTTGCTGTTATATCCGTTAGAGCTCTTTTTCTTTCTTTTTTTTTTCCCTCTCTTTTTTACAACAAAATTTACACATCTTGGATTTTATTACTCCTTAGTGCTTATTACTTTCTTTGGGGGGGAAGATGTCTTTTTTAAAAGAAGAGCTTTTATTTTAGCTAGCCCCGCGACACAGTGCAGATGGAATTTGCAAAGCTGTGCAACTGAGAATTTTGACTGATTTTTATAGTTCATTTATGATTAACTCATTGATCATTAAGTACATAGTGATGAGAAACATCACTATGTTCCCTTTTGCTTGAGGTAAGAGGCATTTCACAGTGGGTGGTTAGGCAATTCATAGCCCTCAGTCTGCCAATTCTGAGAATATTTGTCTCTCATAAAGGGATCAATGGTTGACACAGCATCATTTGCCTCTTAAAAGGGGAACAAACGTTAACATAGCACACAGGTCACTGAGGTGGGGGGGGGGATGACGAATTACAGAACAGGCCTTTCTGGCAGTGGTTTTTAATGAGAGTGGACAACCTAATGCCAGAGGAACACAGAAGAAGCCAGGACTCCTCCACCAGAGGGGGCCAAAGCCAAGACCAGGATGTGGGGGAGGGGGCGGCGGAAGGGCGTGGCCAGAGGCGGGGCAGAGCTGAGGCATGGGGCAGGACATGCTTGGAGGGGTGCAGGGACCCCAGAGCTGCAGAGGCAGAGGTGGTGAGAGTAGTGGCATGAGGGTGCTGGGAGGGGCGTCGGGGTGGCATGGGGGCCAGGGGTGGGGGCAGGTAGAGGGTGATTTGGAGAGGCACCAACCAACGGCACAAGGGGGAGGGCGCCAGAAGGGCCTCAGGTCAAGGTTAGGTTAGGGATGTACCTGCCATGGCCAGGCCAGTCTGGGACCCAGAGTCACACCCGGGACAGGGAAGGGTTCCTGGGTGCCGGTTATGGCATGAAGGGTGCGGGGCGCGCCTGAGGATCACGTGTTCTCGTCTTCCGCCTGGTTTCCTAGTGAGGCTCCTGACACAGCGCCGCAGCCCTACCCCTTTCTGCCCAGTTTACTTCAGAGCCAGCCACAGTGGCAGCGCTGAGTAAGGACCGTGCCCTTGGGGATGCTCGCTACACCACAGCCTTCTAGAACCTTCCCTATGTCTCTTCCTGCATAGCACAGGGCCCGCTGGGGTGAGGGCCCAGCCTCCCCTGTAGCCCTGCAAGTCAGGCTCAGAGACACCCATAGCTCAGCAGCACTGCCCAGCTGTCTTGAGGGTGAGGCAGGAGGGGCCCTGTGAGATGACAATCAGAGCAGCCACTCTGGCTCAGCTCTGGCAGCCTCGTGCTCTCCTCCCCCTAATCTCATGGGGTGCGGCCCACAGAAGTGGCTCTGGAGAGTGAAGGCAGCATTGGAGAAGGGGGACCTGGGCCTGGGCCGGTGTTGCTTTTCATGCGGGGCGTGTTCCAGTTGGGGTGAAGGCATGGGTTCCAGGGGATGGTGAGGCCAAGAGAAGGGAAAGAGTGGGGACCCACGAATACCACCTTTCGTTGCCCAGGGAGGACTTGGGACCTCAAGATTGGATTCTATTGCAGAGACTTGGGGTCATGTCCCAGGGCTGCAGAAGCATGGCCGGGATGTTACAGACCAGGGTCCAGTCCAGTGGCCGGGTGCTGTGAAGGCTCCTGTGTGTGTTGTGGCTGCCTGGTGACCATGCTGCCCCGGGCTCCTGGCAGGGGACCTCATCACGTACCAGGACTGCCAGCATGGCTGCTGGATGCCTTCTTCCCATAGACTGTTACCTCCGAAAGCCACCCACCTCAGTCCTGCTGGAATTCAGCCTGCTGATCCTGCCCCCATCTCTGACCCAGTGTGACAGGGCACCGCGAAGTCATCTGAGAAGCATTTGAGGCACAGGCCGCCGAGCTGTTCTGAAGCTGGGATGCTTCCCCCACCCGCTCTGGGGCAGATATCTGCAGCCCAGGCAGAGCAGGCCCTTGGTCTCTGCCAGTCACCCTACTCCACCCACAGCCTCCAGGTTGGTGAGGGTTTTCTGCAGTGACACGTGGGCACCATCAGAAGGCCTGTGGAGAGGCTGTCAGGGCCATCTTGGCACACAGCAAGGAGCATGTCTGGAAGCTTGGAACCAGGCCCTGGTGCAAGCCCAGCTGTATTCACCCCCCCCCCCCGGCCATGCGGCTCAGAAACCGGATTTTAGTGCTCCCTGGAGCTGAAATAAGGAAGCCATGAGGTAGCTGTCTGTCCTCCTGTTGGAAGGAGGAAAGGGTCAATCAGTACATGGGTTCGGGGGCTCTTGCCAGGCCCCTGGTATCCTAAACACCTGTTCCCTGTCATAGGTAGATAAAGAATCAG